CGCAAAACCGACTAGGTGTAGAGTTTAGGGTTCCGGGATCCCTTTACAGGGGGATAGAAGGCACCTAATTCCGATCAAGACCCGAAAGAACAACAGCCGAGGCTAGAATGCACAAGAAGCAAGGCCTGAGAGAAAGCACACTTCGATCTTCAAGCCCCTTACCGCCCCCTTCCAAACACGTTCGTGTTTCCCCCGGCTGCTGTCGCGCTGAGGGCTGTCGCGTTGTCTGGGTCGGGCTCTTCACGCGGCGGCAGGCTTATCTCCTCATGTCGCCAAGTGTTTCGAATTTTTCGCTTCCATGCTCTATGTCTATGTATGACTCTATGCCATAGTGGCTTCGGCAGAAGAAGCCGAGAGCCTATCCTTTTTAGAGAAAGCGGGCCTAGACTTCCACCTTGTCGCTTCTTTGAGGGCATCTGGCATTAACCCATTCCGGCCCCAACCGCTCCTCATCTGGACCCAACGGAATGGAGCTGTGGTATCTGCCTGCAAGACCCATAACCTTGGGGACCAAGTGAACCCTAAAACTAGGGTCATATATACCCTCTATTACTATAACCCCCATTAAGGTATACGAACCATACACCCTTTCAGGGTTCATCTCGTCTCCCCAAGGAACCACCGGAGTGCTGTCCATGTTCATGCCACCGCTGGTCATGAGCTGTGGAAAGCAAAAGTCGAACCGTGGCAGCGGCGCCCCAGCCCTCCCACATCTTCAGATGCTTCAGTACCTGCAGGTGCAAGGTGCCCTCAAAAATTAGCGGTGGAACCACTTGAGTTCTCTTTCAGGATCCCACACATGTGTCATGTTTTCAAACAATCATAGGCTGTAGCCGAAAGAGCAGTTCGAGACGTTCGTTTCCTACCTGGCCGAAGGCACGGCCCGGCATCGCACTCTCACCCACACAACTTCAAACAGTGTCACGCCATGCGCGTTAGTGCAAATGTGGTGAGGCTGATGCCTGGCTTGGGCTTGGCGCTTTTCATGGGGCGCAGCCCCTCCACCCAGTTGCAACAGCGTTCGCTCAGGCATTGCTGCCCATAGCCTGTAAAACATACCTGGGCTTTGGCTTGGCTTCCGCTCACAGCCACTAGAGCAGGAGAAGGGGAGGGAACAGGGGGGCCCGAGGTTGCGATTTCATGGCTATTTGGTTCCAGGGAGTGCAACTGCTGCTCTTCTTCTTTTCTTGTGACAACCAACCAGCACATAACGTTATTGCATTTACAGTCGTCTGAGCCTGCTGAAAGCCCCGAAGGATGCAATGGTACAAGGAGCACAACAAACACACCCAACAAAAGCATGCACTTCTTAACAGGCATGCAAAGGAAGCAGATGAGGAGCTGCCAAGAGAGAACTCACTTTAACTTAACTTATAAGGTCTGGGCTGTTTCTGCCTGTGACAAAACCGTTAAAATCGATACGCCTGCTCCCCGTTAGCCTGACAACACCACATAAATCTATGCTCCTGCTCGTGCCTATCTTGGCTCCGCTTTTCCAGCACTCATGTGCTTCGATAGGCAAGATTTAGCACCGCAGCCGCAATTCCTATATCTGGGCCTCCTCCTGCGTTGTTGCAGCCTTGGCATACTCTTTGACTCTTGCTAGAGTCTCCTTTGCCTGGCAGTGTTTGACTCTCACATCTGTCGAGCTTGCTGCCGCATCCGAACTAGTCACTAACAAGCCAAGCCATCGAAACCGACAGTCGCACAACCACGGCCACTGCCTCGGAAGACATCCCGAGGATCTGCCCTGGGCGAACGTGCATGCAGCTGCGGTGTAGGGTTTAAGGTTCAAGGGGAAGCTAGCGTTGCGCTACGAAGGCTTAAGCACAACAAGGAGTCTCCAACCATTCGCTGAGGAGTTTTTCGTCTCTCCATTCAAAGCTGTCGTTTTACAAGCGCATGGGGTTGAAGTACCGTCTCCCATGGTATAGGGGTCGGAAAAGTAAAGTGCCCCCCTATGGTCCCTACATACTTATACGCGAATTGTTAACCCCTCCCCCCAAACCCTATTCAAATGATTAAGGCCTCTATATGGAGGTTGCAGGGGCTTGTTCCGGGTTCCGGCCTGTGTTTTCTAAACGCGCCGGTCTTAAGGGTATTGGAGGTTTAGCATTTGGGGTTCGAGTTGAGTGAGACTGCAACGTGTACACGCACTTGCAGCACATCCCCTCAAAGGCAACTCGAGGTTGACTGCTTTGGCGAACTCAGAACAGAGGATCAGGCCAGGGTTTAGCGTTTCGGGTTTGGAGTTTGAGGTAACCACAAAAAGGGGGAAAAAAAGGTGCCACTGGGCTGCCGAGATATATAAACACATGTATGGACACATTGCGCAAGCGACCGAGGGATCTGGGGGATTGTTTGGCAGTCCTAAACTCTAAACCCCAATCCTTGCAAACTCTAGGCATGAAGCCCAAACCCCTAAACCCTGTCTTGCTTCAGGGCTCCTAAACCCTAAACCCGAAACCTTAAACCCCAAGGCTCGGGATTGGATATATGAGGGCAAGCTGTACCCTCCAGGGTTTTCAGCCAGTCGAAACTGAATGTCAAGACTAACCCTAAACCCTAAACCCTACACCCTAAACCCGAAACCCTTACAAATCAACCTTGGGGGCTGACTCTGTATTCGGGCCAACCCCTTTCCTAAACCCTACAAACCCTAAGCAGCCCTCTAACCCTACACCCTAAACCCTAAGCAGCCCTAAACCCTAAACCCTCAACAGCACCCTAATTAAGAGCACTGTGGGCGAGGCCCGGAGCGATCAGCTGACTCTGAGGAAGTCCCTCTGCTGCTTGAGTTGAGATCGAGGCGGCGGGAGTCTCAAAATCAGGAGAAGGTACGCCTGAACCCTAAGCCCTTGAATCTACCTTAAATTCAGATTAAGGATCCCTACATACATGTGATTTTGTATAGTTATTTCTTAATTGAAGGAAACACACTCAACTCTTCCAGCCCTAAACTCGAAAATGCTGCACGGTCACAGCATTTCCTGATGCTTCCTGGCCTGGGCCGTGGTTGAACTTCGATGTAGTCAATTTTAAGATTCTCCTGGCGCAGAGTAACAAGGCGGACCTTCGGTATGCAACCATACTTTTCTTGTGCTTGCTCAAGCTGTGTCAGGAGTTCGTCTGCAGCTCCTAAGCATATTTGCAGAGTTTGCAGTGTTGACGGTTGACATCCAAAAGGGGTTCAAACCTCAAGAGGTTTAAACATGAAGTCTGCCTGCCGACCCTGGTACGCCGGCAATTGTGAGCGATTGTTGTCTCATGGCCTGTATGCATGCGAAGTTTCGCGTTCATGCTATTGAGAAGCTCATGCTTGCACACGTGGCTGTAACATCATGTTGCTTTGGGTAACATACCAGAAGCTTACCGGAAGTTCTCTGAACTTTGGTTCCTTTTGGCCACAAACCCTAAACCCTTTTTGCGGCTAGGACTGCTGCACTGCCTGCCTGGGACGAAAACCATGCAAACCCTAAACCCTAAACCCTCTTTTCGGCGGCGGCTGTGCGCTGTTCACTCCGTGGCCTGGATTCGGCGACTTCTGCGGGGCTGCACCGGCATGTTCAAACCCGTAGAATCCATGCGCCAATGCGGTTGATAGGGTTTGGGGTTTCTACGAATTTGCTGAAGAACCCCCAAAAACATGAAAGAAATCTTCCTGATAAGGGCAATTTGGGGATGATTATCTTGAATTTTCTTGGGCGGGCCTCGTAAGCAAATAGTAGTATGCGTTCATGTGAAGATACTCTCTCGGAACCGCTGTCCTGTGTATGTAGGGTTTAGGGTTTCAAGGCCCAACTATGTACCATTATATAGGTACATGGATGCTTTGGGAAAGCAGCTGCCTGCGACACTGCTGACTTTTCAGTTGGCAGGCCTCTGATGCTGATGCTGGCACGAACTTCCTCCTGTCTTCTCATAGAGATTACAAAGCGTATCAAGCTTCTTTCGTTTCGGGCCACGAGGTCCGTCGCCTCTTTGCGAGAAAGGGGAGGTTAGTATATATATATATATATTCCAATGTGAAAGGCTTCAGACTATAGCCTTGGGCACCGTAAGGCGCATCTAACTCAGCTCTTTCTCCTCCAGCGTCTTGTCCTGCACCACGTGTCACGACAAGCACAAAAAGGGTCTAGGGTGTGATTTAGGGGCCTTAATGATTAGAATGAGGTTTTTGGGGTTGTTATAGCATTGTGATAAAAGGACCATAAGGGAATACTAAAACAACAGCTGAGAACCCTAGCAACAACATGCGCACGCTCAGACGCATGCTGGTCCTCTACCACTTCGATTTGCCATTTCGCTGCCTGTGCCAGGGGAGATGGCAGGCACTTGAAGGTTCATGGCACTTATTAACGAATTACAACTGTACTTTTAACCTAAATGACAACAATATTAGGGCACTTAAGAGGCTTACAAGTGGGTTATAAGTACAGTTATGATTGGTTAGTAAGTGCCCTGAACCTCCAAGTAGAGCCGAGTCCCAAAGAATTTTGCTACAGCGAGGAGTGGCAAGAGGCAACCCAACGCCTCTTTTCCTTGAATGCGTAACTCCAGCAACAGTTGTTGGGTGCTAAACAAGAGTACGCCAATTCGCTCTCGTTCTCGCTCTCTCTCTCTCTCCCCCTCTCTCTCCCCGTCTCTCTCCCTCCCCCTCTCGCGTTCATAAACCACTTGTTTGTTGAGATTGTGTGTGTTGCATGCTGCGAGTTTGCCTGAGGTCGCTTCCAACCCGAACAGGCTCTTGAACGCATACTGTTCATACTTCTGGCTTTGGTCTGAGTAAGCATCAGTGCCGCCATCGGCAGAAACGATAGGAAATCGAGGCGTCGAACCCCAATGTGCGGAGAAGAAACCCTAAACCCTTTTGCCACTGGACTGAGGTCCAGCCAACCCTCAACCCTCAACCCTAAACCCTAAACCCGAAACCTTGGCTGAGAAACACGCGTGGGACTCCGAAGGGCCTCGTCAAGTGTTGGCACATTCGGCGCATCGTGAGGTGCTGACGTGAGGAGCACCTGCTCCGTACTTGCCTGCATGAAGGTACCAGCACAGGACGTGATCAACACGCAAGTGACTATAAGTCCTTGGGAAGATCTGCGAAACCTCAAGGGGTTCTCAGCAGAGAAAGTGCCTCCTGCACACATCTCCGCCTCCTGTGATGTATGACGCTGGCATGTTGGGATGTTCCCCCTTTTATACTAACAGTCCTTCGCACGGATTCTAGTACCCCGCACTAGAATCCTTACTAAGGACTGCGAGTTTTTTAGGGGAAACATCCCAAGTGGCATGCTTCCCCGCCTTGCCTGGCTAGGCAAGCGCTGGGTCGGCGGGTCCGTATGCTTCTGCCTCACAGCGGGGCCTGTGCTGGCATCAGGCCTGGGATCAGGCACACCAAGGATGGCCTTCTTCCACCCACTCATGTAGATTAGAATAGGTTATTATTATTATTGTCATTATTATTATGCTCATTATTATTATGATTATTATTACTACTATTATTAATATAGATATATACATATGTATATATATATATATATATTTTTTTTTTTGGGGGGGGGGGGGGGTGACTATAGTATAAGTATAAAGGGGCCATGAGGGGATATGAATAGCAACTATTCCGACCACTATAGTAGGTTCAAGTCCAGCAAGAGTCACCAGGCAGTTGTTGTGTGAAGTAAGTTTTCACGGAATTTATGAATACCTTTTATCGTTGAAAACTTATGAACCATCAAATCATCACGACTAAGGCCATCGCAGACGCAAAGTAAACCACAGCAAACAGCAGCCAAGGAGAAGCTTTTTGACCCCAATCCCTAAACCCTAAACCCCAAGCCCCAAACCCCAATCCCTAAACCCTGAAGCCAATCCCTAAACCCCAAACCCTAAACACCCTAAACCCTAAACCCTGAAGCCAATGATCCATGCATTGAGATCTCACAACTGGCTCTAGCAGCCAAGCCGCTCTGGACTCGGCGCAGCGCTTCTCACCTCAGATCATTGCAAAGCATCGGAGCTGGAGCCGCTCCCTCTGCATATCTATGTAGGAATAGACTTATTTGTTTACCATTTGATGATCTCTACATTTCGTGTATGTGTATATATATGTATATATGTATATGGGTAGGGTATATGATCAGGGTAGACCCCAAACAGTGAGAGACCATGTGAGACCGGAAGTTCAAAAGTCATGGCCGTTTCGCATTTCGCGCGCCCGCAGCTCCAAAAGCGGTTTAGGGTTTAGGGTTTAGGGTTTAGGGTTTAGGGTTTAGGGTTTAGGGTTTAGGGTTTAGGGTTTAGGGCGACGGTTGCGCGCTTTACGGGCCCAGAAGTCCCCCACCTGGACGAGAGCGCCCGGCCGCCGACCTAGGCCCTCGATAATTCACCCGTCGCATTGAAACCCCTTAGTTGACGCACTGTTTGTGAGATGAACAAAAGTGTATGTATGTACATTCATACTTTGTGCAAATACTGAACCACATACATCTATATATATATATACATATATCTGTATATATATATATATACGCATAGGCAGAACGACAAGAAAAAGTATCACATATATACATATATATATATATATATATATTTATATTTATTTATTTACTTATTTATTGACTATTTATTATTTTCTTCATGTGTGTATAAAAAAACATATTAGGACCACTTACTACCAGAGAATCCTCGTGATGCGACATCGAAATGAAGGCACTGGAGAATTCGGCACATGAACCCTAAACCCTAAACCCTAAACTCAGAACCCTAAACCAAAAATCCACCCAAGGCTAGCGCGTCGCTTGGTCGCTCGGCTGCGGCTGCAGCCTGTAGCCGCACTGTAACTTTTAGGGTTTAGGGTTTAGGCCTTTAGGCAGAGTTCGCCACGGTTCGAGAGAGACATGGCTTCACATCTGCATATGCGAGGCTCAACTAAGTTCCATATGCGAGGCTCAACTAAGCTCCTGCAGGGCGAAAAACCGAAGTAGCAGCTTCGGATCCCCTGGGCACAGGAAGCCTTGAAGTCCTCAAGCGCCGAAATGTGGAAGCCCGGGATTGCAGTAGACTTTTTGCCGGGCTCGCCCCGTGCGCGACGCAGCTCCAACACAGCTGTGGCAGCACTGGGGTGAAAGGTTGCATGGGGGGGCTTCCCTAAACCCTAAATCCTAACGGTACAGGTCTGCGCGGTCTGTGGTCTCATGTGGTCTCACAGCGCATCCACGATCTGCCGAAAGGTCTCACTGTGCACGAGGGCTTCTCTCAGCTTCGCATTTCCTGAGTCTGTTTCAGCAGCCTCGCAAAAAAACAAAAGGAGGATGCCAGGCTGGTCAAAGCTAAAGCCCTATAAACCCTATACCCCCCCCCCCCCCCCCAATCCCAAGCACCCAAACCCCCCAAAATCTGCCACACAATCCCAGGAGAGGAGGGCCCATGCCAGAAGCAAGGTCTGGGGGTAGTTGCATGGTCCCTGAGAATGGGCCCATAAAAGGGGACCTACAGCCCAAGACCCCCTACGTCAGAACCCTGTAAAGGCGGTAAGGGACCATATTAAGGGCCCATAGAATCTACCCAGTAGACAAGGAAGGAAGAGATCGAATGATGAGGCTGATGCTGCTGCCTTGACTCTTTCGTGGCCAGGCAGGCCCTTCCATCCAGGGAACTGCGTTTCCAGTCTATCCTGCACCAGGGGGCTGGCAGGCTAAACCCTAAACCCCAAACCCTGAGCCCCTAAACCCTGAACCCTGAACCCCTAAACCCTAAACCCTAAAACTTGCAGACCCTGGGCATGGAGCCCAAACCCTTTTCCAAGAGACTTCGCCCGCCTCGAAGCCCAAACCCTAAACCCTAAACCCTAAACCCTAAACCCCAAACCCCAAACCCTAAACCCTAAACCCTAAACCCTGTTAATATCTTTTCCTTTGGGTTTCACATAAACACTAGGGCAACATATCATCCACAGAGGGAATCCTATAGTCAGCCCCAAACAGCCCTAAACCCTAAACCCTTTTACAACATTTTCCCTTGGGTTTCACATAAACAAAAGGGGGGAAAAAGATCCGAACAGGGAATCCTATAGTCAGCCCCAATCCCCAAACTGTCTAACCAGCTGCGCCTGGACCCCTGGCTCTTCCCACATGGGAGCAAAGTAGTCGGACTTTCCGGCCAGGGCCTCCTTGATCATCCCCTGGCTTGGTTTAGGAGTGTAGGGTTTAGGGTTTAGGGTTTAGGGTTTAGGGTTTAGGGTTTAGGGTTTAGGGTTTAGGGTTTAGGGTTTGGGGTGATCATCGCCTGATTTGCCCGCATAGCTGGATGAACCAAATCTTTTGGTTTTTTGCCACCTGCCTAGCAGCCTCGCAACCACCACTTTTGGTTTAGGGTCTTTTGGTGCAGACAGAGCAGGTGGAGGTTTGGGGTTTGGGCTTCTAGGGCCAGTTCGGGCTCTATATGCTCTTGCCGAAAACTGAAAACGTTGTATCGCGTATGTACATGATCAGTTGGCAAAGGCTACTTGCTTCGACTTCGCTCGATAGTTTGGCCTTCGTCTTTCACTCTTGCCCAAGGGGTTTGCAGCCCACAGATGGGCAAGCGGAATCAAAACGATCTTTGATTAGCTGGAGCATACTGCGGACGATCTATGGGGGGCCCCCAAGACCACATGTTTTCGTTCCCCAAAGCCAATCGTGCCTGCATGCTGAAAAGGAAGTCATGTCGCACCTGGAAGTTCAGCAGCTTCTTTGCCCTGCAAGTGTCCGCCAGCGTTCCGAGGAGGTCATTCTTTCTGGCTGCCACATGTTCCTGGTTTGATGACACCAGGTTTGCAACCTCCTTCACGGAGTGCTTCTCACCCGAGCCGATGTTGATGGAGGTGCCATGGACGTCACTCTGATATCCCAGGATCAAGGCTCGTGCAACGTCTTTTACATGGACGAAGTCACGGAAGTTCCGCCCATCACCTTCGATGACAAGGGGGAGTCCTTGCTTCAGGCGGTCGATGAACTTCCCAGTTACAATCGCATATGCACCGTGTGCGGGATTGCGCGGCCCATACACCATAAAGAAACGCAGGTTCAACGTCGGCAGCTTGTAAAGCGCATCGTTGGTGAGCATGACTAGTTCACCCATGTACTTTGAAGCAGCGTATGGGGAGGTGGGCATGAATGGGTCCGTCTCCACGAAGGGAACACCCTGGTTGCCATAGTATGTAGAAGATGCTGCATAAACAACCTTGCGCACCAGCATTGTTTCGTTGGCGGCCTGGCAAATGAGCTGACTGCATGTATGACTTTAGGAAAACATGGAAGGACAGCAGGTTCATTCACACATACATATTTTTTATATACACACTACACGGACAAATGTTGATGTTTTTGCTGCGCGCCTCCAGTACTCGGCTCGTCCCGACGGAGTTGCGCTCCACGTTGAAGGTTCCCATCGCGGGATTCCTTGGCATAACCCGGGTCGCCATGACGCTGCATTGATGTTTGGCCGGGGGGGCATGCGGCGGCAACATGCGCTGCAAGTGAGTGACAATGGGCTTGTGTGTGCTAGCACGTGTAAAAGCTCCGAAACCTCAAATCAAGGCGCTGGCAAGCTAGCAAATGCAGCAGAAGCTCTTCAGAGACGGCAGAACTTTGCTAGCAGCACCCAAGTGGAAAATGCCGCGCACATCCACCATGGCTTTCCTGCCAGGCTCCAACTGAAGGCATGCTCAGGCTGCAACCCTCCACCCCCACCCCCCCCCCCCCCCCCCCCCCGCACACCCCAATGCTGCCACCTTTCGGGCACCATAAGCCAATAAGCCAGCATACGCCCTCCCCCAAGTTTTGTTTGACCAACCCAAGATGTCCAACCCTGCGGGCCTCAAAGCCTCGATGTCCAGGATGTCCCCCAAGACGAATTGCAGCTTGGGATGTCTCAGGTTCAGAAACTGGAGGTTCCCCGTCTCGAGGTTGTCAAAGACGCGGACCGTGTAACCCAACTCAAGGAGCTCCTCAACGAGGTGGCTCCCAATGAAGCCTCAGCTGGCATGTTTCCTTATTATAAGGGTAACACAGGGATTACTTTGAAACAAAAATCTTAGTGATAAGGGTAGTACAGGGGTTGTGCTCTGTTATCTTTTGAGGGGGGTTCTTAAGCAAAATAGTTAGACAGGGACTGACGACACTTGCTTGGGGCGGGGGGGGGGGGGGGTGGACACCGTTGGAGAGAAAAGGCGAATCTTGCCCCAGCCCCCCCCCCCCCCCCAAAAAAAAAAAAAAAAAACAGCAAACAGCACTTTCCTGCCCTGAAGGGGCCGGAGCCCCCAGTGACCAGCACGAGTTCCCCCTGCACCGACTTCGGAGTCCCGCGCTCAGCGTCCGCCTGCAGTGAGGCGCAGGGGTCCACACCCAGCTTGCCCGAAGCCGGGAAGATGTAGTGCTGCCTGAGGAGCTGCTCGGCGCTTTTAGGGTATAGGGTTTAGGGATATCCGAGCAACTGCTTATAAGGATTTAGGGTTCTTGGTTTAGGGTCGTGCCCTATAAAAGCCTAAACCCTGAACGCCAAGCTATCACGAAACTCTGCCTAAACAGCGGCCCCATGGCCCAATGTATCCTACGCCCACCAGCAGATGGGATGTCGGCCCTCAACAACTTCATGGGAGATTGGACAAAAGAGGCTGCCAAGTAGACAGAGCACTGGAAGTCGGGGAGCCTGCCGCTCCCCACCACCTCAGGCATGGTGTTGGGTGTCTAGGGTTTAGGGTTTGGGGTTTGGGGTTTGGGGTTTGGGGTTTAGGGTTTAGGGTTTAGGGTTTAGGGCTAGGGTTTAGGTCTTGTCCGGGCTTATAGCGATCAGGGCAGCTCGTGGCTCCATCATGCTTCTATACTACGAGACTTTACATGATTTGTGTTCGACTTCCCTTCGAAAGCTTCTTAGCCTAGCTTCTATACTCCCCTTAGAACCTTAATAACAATACTATTTTTAATATCCTCTTGGGTTTTATCATAATTCCCAAGGGGGATATAGGCTTTATAAAATGATCTTCAAGCACAGACCAGGCACCATGACCAGCACCCAAAGCGCGGCTACCCCGATGCCGAAGAGCCACTTGAAACTGCCGGTGCGCGCCTGCGAGTGGGGTTTCGGGTTTAGGGCTTAGGGTTGTAGAGTACCTGCCTTCCTTCCTTGCTGAATCATGATCTTACGGGTTTGCTGTTTATTTGCCTCTCCAGTGTTAGGGTGCCTAGCTCAAGGCTGACCACCATGCCACTATGCCAGGATTCGCTTGGGCAGTTTCCTCTGGCACAGAGATGCCCAGCTGAATTCAGAGAGAAGACAAACTCTAAAGCGATTCTGGGGTTCCTTTAGGGCTTTCTCGGCGCTGCCTCTGTATCTGAGCAACTGAGCAGGACATTGGGTTTAGGGTTTCGACTCTCGCGCTCGCACTCGGCCGGTTTAGGGTTTAGGTTTAGGGTTTAAAGGAATCTCAACGGCTCATCCTCATTGGCATCCAGGCACGAAAGCGCGCGCAGACCACGGGCCGTGGACCTCCCCTGGCGGCAGCCTCAGGTAAACCCCTGATAAACCTTAACCCTAGAACACACAGAAATACAAAAGTGAAGATACAATGACATACGTATGGGTAGTTCTCTAAAATGAGGGTCCATTTTGGGGAAATGTTTTAGAGGCTGCTGCCCTATCCAAAAAGGACCCTAATCTAGGAAACTACCCGTATAACGTAAATATGATACAGCTTTAAATGCCTGGTCTGGACGAAGCTCAAGCATTCGACAGGACCACGCTTGCGAGACTAGACTTGAAAACCTGATCGCTACATTGCCTGCTGCAGGCACTCGTTAATGCAAAATAAGCTCTTTTGTTTGCCTCTTTTTTTTTTCTCTCTCTCTCTCTCTCTCTCTCTCTCTCTTGCGCCTATGAGTCCTAGCAACCTCTTAGAGCCATGTCAGCCCTGAGCCCCCGAAAATCTACAAGAAACACTCCCTGGGCCCAGGTGCCGGTGTTGCTGATCGCAGTCAGCACTGCAGGGAGGGGACTTCGCCACCTGTCCAGCACATCCTCCCCAGGGAGCACACTTCGGAGGAGGGTTTAGGGTTTAGGGTTTAGGGTTTAGGGTATAGGGTGCTCGGTCCCCTACGATAAGGGAGGTATGTGCAAGGCATTGCAAGGCTTCAAGGAAAGCTCAATCACTTCTCAGAAAGGTTCACTGAGATGGGCTGAGAGGTGTGGCGTTAAGGGCTTAGAATCTAGGTTGCCCAGTAACCTAGGATTAAGAAAGGTGCCTTTTTTTGCTTTAAAAGGGGTGTACAAGGGAACCTAAAAGGGCACCACTGGGCAACCTAGGAATATGTCTGGATATCCTTCACCCTAAAACCTAAACCCTATAAACTATAAACCCTATAAACCCTATAAACCCTAAAAACCCTAAAAACCCTGAAAACCCTATAACCCCTATAAACCCTAAAAAGCCTCTAAACCCTATAAACCCTATAAACCCTAAACTTCTGGCAACAGGTCTCCTTTGGGACTCTCAGCCGGCTCTTTACCCACGACAGGCTGTGGCGACTGCCCCACAGCCCTGTTCGAAGGCATGGCATGTCGGCGGCGACAAATGCCGGAGACGTGCATTCACTGCAGGCTTTTCTCTATACTGAACTTGGAACCCTAGCAAACACTATTACTTTTGCTGCTCCTTGGGAATCAAAGTAGCTGCCTGATCGTAAGTGTGGGGTAGAAAGCTATGGATGGTCCAGAAACTTACGGCGCGCTTCGCTTTCTAGGCTAGGGTGCCGCTCTGGGGCTCCTAAGCCTTATGAGCTGCCGTATATTCTCTCCTGGCGCCCCCCCCCATGCCACACATGCTCATTTCCCCTTGAGCTTTGCAAAGTGGACGGCTGTGTCTCTCTTTGTCTCTCTCTCTCTCTCTCTCTCTCTCTGCAAGCATCGCCCTGGAAAACCGCGCCCAGTCTTAATCACAGAGCCATATGTGAGATTGCTGGAACTGCTTCATCCCAACTACCCTGGCTGCGTCTATGTGGTCAGAGTTAAGGGGGTAGCATGCCTTTATGGTGCTGCTACACCATGCTCCGCGCAGCTCCCAGCGTGACTCTGTCTCTGTTCCAAGCTTCAGGGCAGACCTCTGAACTTCGAACCGTGGGCGCGTGGAAGTACTAGGACTAGGACAACTCTCTCTCCCTCTCTCTCTCTCCCGCTCTCTCTCGCTTTCTCTCTCTGCTGTGCGGCGGTATGACCAAGTGAAGCATGTCTACCAACGACCACGGGCCATAGCCAGCACGCATGCATTAAGCAAGCTCGTGCCCGAATGAGCCTTTCTGCATACAGGGGTGGTGAGACGACATTTTTTGAAGCTCAGCCGGCCTCGGTGCTGACTGAGCGGAGAAGCGCATTCCTCATTGAGACGCACCGACTTCGCTTGTTCCGACAATCCTGAAACCTCGATTGAAAGCATAAAGCCCACAACTCATTGAGGCCTGCACTGGGGTTCTTGGGGTATTCTTCTTGCTCAACTTTTAAGATATCTGGGAAAAAGGCTCGGACTCAACGTACCTATGAAATCTGATACAGGTCTCCAAACCCCGCCATACTCTGTCTTCTGCAGCGACAGCCACCTAGTCAAATTTTTGTCAAGAGTCAGAGGTCCATACAGCAGGTTCGGAGAGGCATCAAAGCGCCACCCCTCCTGCTCATCTGCGTACCTCCGGTGGAAGTTTCGGTGCATAGGTCCATGTGGTTTAGGGTTGAGGGTTTAGGGCCTACAAATACTCCCCTGGCCAGCTTTCCCCATTCCAAGGGGCGCACACGGGTCCTACGATTTTCAGGCCGTCTGCTGGCACGGCGAGCGCCGCCTCGCAAGAGTTTCTGGCGAGTTGGGGTTGGTGGGCTTGTGGGGTGCATCTACTTCTCTAGGTTTCATCATCCCCACTCCGCCGTAGCGCAAAATATTGCGTGCCATTGTCTACGTTCACTACTGTCATTTCTTGTTGGTCTTCGTGTTCTTGCTATCCTTGTTCGGTCTTCTTCGCATCTGTTGGCACTACAAGCTTGGCTGACTTCTGAACTCCTAAAACTTTAACTTGAACTTTTAGGCTCCTTCTTGCAATTTCTACCCTAAACCCTAAACCCTAAACGTTGAAGTTCTAGGAGCAAGCCAGAATTCGAAGCAAGCATGGGGCTTCCCATGGGCCTTGTCGAAGAAGGGGTCTCCGCCTTGAAGCTCAGAAGAGGCCAAGACCTCAGGTTTAGGGTTTAGGTTTAGGGTTTAGGGTTTAGGGTTTAGGGTTTAGGGTTTAGGGTTTAGGGTTTAGGGTTTAGGGTTTAGGGTTTAGGGTTTAGGGTTTAGGGTTTAGGGTTTAGGGTTTAGGGTTTAGGGTACAGGGTTTAGGGTTAGGGCTTAGGGCTTTATCGGTCTGGGGTTGGGATGTTCCCCCTTACGCTAACAGTCCTTTTTAGGGACTATTTCAGGGGGAGGGTGTTAGCATAAAGGGGGAACATCCCAAGTCTGGGGTGTTCATACAGGTTGTGCACGGCTACAGAGGGATTAGGGGAATTAACGAACCGAACTCCTTTCGAACCTCCTCACCCTAAACAACTCCTCAGCACTCAAGGGATACTCAGTGGGACTGGGATGCGGGATTCTCTGGGGACGCATTCCAGGGCTCTCTGCGGATTCGTGGATTCTGCAAGACTCTCGTGGAGTGGGCACTCTAGGGATTTCTCGTCATAGGACTCTACGTTGCACCCCTAAAGTAGTACCCTTTGGGTTTGGGCGGCCCTGTTTGCAGGCCCTCTAAGGGAATCCTCTTAGGGGTACATCCTTCGGGGTGCGAGCCGGAATCCTTTGATTTCTGTCGGAGACGAGCTTCTCTGAGCGCACGCGCTCCACTATGACACGATTTTGTTTGCGGGATTTGCTGGAGGAAGCACTCCGACAAATTCTGTGGGATTCTCAGGCAGCGGGGCCATCAGTTCGTAACACGGGTGCTACGGACTCCCCACCCACTCTGTAGGACCCCCTTATTAAGACCTCTTGCAGGGCGCATAGGGCACCAAGGCAACGACAGATAGGGGAGTAGAGGCGGCAGCCCAACATTTGTCTTCATCTACCAAGCTTAGAGAAGAAGGTGGTGGTCCCAAGCATGTCATCAGTCCCCAAACCCCAAACCCCAAACCTTAAACCCTAGGCCCTAAACACTAAACCCCAAACCCCAAACCCTAAACCCTAAACCCCAAACCCTAAACCCTAAACCCCAAACCCTAAACCCCAAACCCTGAGTATTCTGAAGTACACGAATCGCCCCCTGAGAGCCACACATACGTCTTGTTCGGCCGCAGAAGGACCTCCGTTCAATTTATTCTTGATATCTCGGGATGTTCCCCCTAATACTACAACAGCCCTCTCTAGGGATGATAGTACTTCCTAAACCCTAAACCCTAAACCCTAAACCCTAAACCCTAAACCCTAAACCTCAGATAGTACTGCTGTTATAGTTCCTATTACTCACTGTTCGTATACGCGGAAACATCCCAATTGACATCACTTGATTGTCTGAACGCCCTGAGGGTTCATTGCATGGACTCTCAGGATTGCTTTGCAAAGCACTTCTGCACACGGCGGTTAAGGGTTTAGGGTTTAGGGTTTAGGGTTTAGGGTTTAGGGTTTAGGGTTTAGGGTGACTACAGCCATTGTCAATCATCCTGCTTGAGCATCAGCTGCTCGGGGTGTCCGCAAAGATGAGCAACGAACCGGCTTGAACCGGCACGACTGTACAGATATAATTGGGGTTCTAAGTCCCCATGAACCTCCAAGTAATTGATTGCATCATCACCGTGGTCCCAAGGAAACCTCTGCGCACAAGCACCTCGTCCGCGAGTTCAGCATAATGGAAACCCTCGTCCGTCATGATGACACCGGCCTGCGTGTTGGCCAACATCAGAGCACATTAGGGCCGAGTTGTTCTTTTCGTTGTGGGGCTGGGGAGCAGTGCCCGAAGTCGAAAGTACATATAAACATACACGTGTATGTACATGCATATGCATGTATACACATTTCACATATATATATATGTATATACATACATATGTGTGTGCATGTATTGCTTGATACATACATATGGCTTCACGTGGCACCAAGCGGTCGTCATCGAACGCGGGAGTAAATGAGCGGCAAATTGCTCTGCGGCACTTAGGTTCGCTTTGGGGTACTGCTTTCGTCATTCTATATATATATATATATGCATACGTCGATGTACGAAAACAATAGCGCATTCTTGCATCCGTGCTCATATGGGACTTGGGCTTGCGCCGTGTCGCCCGGTTTAGGGTTTTGGGGCTCTGAAGGTTCAATCAATCTTTCTTGGACAAGCCAGAAAAGGCAAGACTGGTTCAGCTCCGCAAGCTCGCGCACATTTGTGCCGCGATACGGACTTACGGTTCAGGTAAAGTTCGAAATTGCGCTTGAGGGTGTCGTCGCACTCACTCAAGGCCGGCAAGGTTCATTGAGGGTTTCGGATTTGTTCTGGTAGAATCTTTTCAAGCAGAAGGAGCGCAAGGCCCTTGCAGTGGGCCTGCTGTGTATCCAGAGTCGATACCGCCACCACTGCTAAAGGGTGCAGGCCCGAAATTTCATCCTCAGTCAGGTACGCAAACAGCCATTTGCCACTGCATACATGAACCTTGAACCTCGCTCCATATTCAGTTTGCGCTTCGCCGCGCAGTCTGTGTTCGATACTTCTCCCTCTCCCTCCTTCCTGCACACGTAACCCCGAAGGGGCTGCCTGCTCACTCTCTCTCTCTCTCTCTCCCTCTTGCTTTCGCTCTATGGCTCTCTCGCTCTCTGCCGCTGCATTTCCGTGTCTCTCTACATGTCCCCCGAAGGGCGTGTGTTGACATATGCGTGTCGGTGATACAGGGGTGCATGTGATGCTACAGTAGCCTCCTTTGGGTGTCCCCCAGCGGGAAGTGTAGCACCGAAGTCGGTGCCGCTTGGTGCCACTTGTTTGCCCCGATCTCTCTCTCTCTCTCTCTCTCTCTCTAGGCAGCTCTGTGGGTACTGCAAGCCAACCTGTGGGAAAGCAAGTGTGCTACGAGGTCGGCGTGCTGTGTCATCACGTAATCATGCAAGCTGCAACAAATGCTCACCTTGCAAAGCCTTAATATTGAATAACTAAATGATATAATTATATGTACATTGTATACTCTATTTTCAAATACTATATACCAGTATAAGTGCCACTATGACTATCTATATATATATATGTGTGTGTGTGTGTATTTCCTACATACATACGTGTATATATATATATATTATTGTATAACAGCATAACATTCTATCTGGAGCGCCAGCTCATGCTTGAGATATGCTCAGGCGAGCGCCAACTCCAGGAGCTCCACGCTGTGTGCTGCATACAGCGATTGGCCTGCTGGACAATACAATGCAGCGCAATACAAAAGAATATATACATATATGTGTAAGCACATTACGTATGTATATATATATATATACACATGTATATATATATATTATATTATATTATATATATATATATATATATTTGTGTGTATGTATACAGATATATTTTTGTGTGTATATATATACACATACACATGCATATTAATTAATTTACGTAACACCGCTGGACAAACCATCGTTTACGCATGCACATCTTCGAATTTGAAGAACCGCAGAAAACGTGTCTGAAAATCTATATTTGTATTTATAGTTACCTGCAAGCTTACAACGAGTCGTATATTGTCATGTAAAGGTCCATTGTGTGTGTTGGTATGCTTCTTCAAAGTAGCCACGGACCACTCGTTGACTTGCACTGAAGCCCCAAGACTGCAATACCTGGTATCAATCTAGTCGTATCACATTGGCGCCCACATGAAAAAGCTGTATGCTGTGAACAACGAAGTATCAGGCGCATTATGAGGTCATGTAGCTCTCCCATTATGCTGAAAAAGGATGCCGTTTATACATGTTTTGGGGCCAAGGCAACTTCTGCAGGGTGAGCTACATGGTTTTCAAGGCTGGCATCAATCAACCTGCAAGATACAATTCATAGCAATGAAGAGCGTCTTACCTTTGGGCTAGAGAGACTATTTGATATTAATAAAGAATCGGGTCTCCCGTCTAAAGCGATGAGAGGCTTCTACGTTGGAGCGATAGGAGAACCATCAAATTGTGACATAGACAAGGCCGTGCATATCCAAGCTGTGGCGGCGCACTACCCCGCAAAGCCATACGGCCCAAAGCCGTCACAGCGGTGGGCTGCTGTGGAACCTAGACGGGATCTGTTTTTCAAGGAAATTCGACTAGCGAACGCTCTGCCGTCAAACGCCGCCCATGACTGCACTCTGCGCCTATAGTGAACAAGTGACAAATGCATCGACGTTAGATTTCAGGGCCCCCGGCAAAAGCTAGGCCAATCAGACCGGTGAAGTCTGTTCGCTGTTTGGTTGGAGTCGGCGATGGATCACAGCTACCTGGCGCCACGGCAGGAGTGCACGCCTGGCTATACTTGCGAGTTGCAACACCGAACGTGGCTTCAATTCCTGCCCGCCGCTAGAGGGCAACAGGAGCACTGACATCAGCAAGTAGGTCGACACAAGTCAATCGCGGCGGCTTGGCGTGCGTTGTAGTTAAACGACACCTGGGCATGTAAGAGCGCTGACTTCCACGCATCATGCGGGCTTACTACTGCAAACCAAGCGTCTGGATCATACTGCTTCAGCAGCGGTCCTGATTGCAAAAGCTAAAGAATCTAGGGGCGAAGTGCTTGTCAGTGAATCTGTTGATCCGGCTTGGGATGCCAGTTGGGTTAAGGGTTAAGGGTTTAGGGTTTAATTACTGTAGGGTTTAGGGTTTATTGATCCACCGAGGGGCTGGATGTCGCCAGCAGGCCAGTGACGTGCTTGTCCTCTGCATCCTTGGGGTGCACCTCAGGCAACGAATAAAAGATCACATGGGGGTTTACGCAAATAAGGGAACCCTGAGATAGACCCCCAGAAAGTAGGATTCCCTTCTGAGAGGGACCCCAAGTGGTACCCCTACTTTCGGAAACCTGAGCGCACAATTGACTTTGGTATGCTTCGGGGGGGCGGGGGGGGGTGCCTAGCGGTTGACTCCGCTCACTCTCCGCTAGCGGCCTCGAGGTTGTCAAACTGGCACTTGTGGTAGCCACAACCAAGAGCAACCTCGCTGCAGGGTGTTAAGAGCGTGGGTCGGAGTTAACTTCTCGGCTTGAGGACGATCAACGAGTTGAAGAGCCCCCTCTCTATCTCGCTCTCTCTGTCTCTGTCTCTGTCTCTGTCTCTGTCTCCGTCTCTCCGTCTCTCCGTCTCTCCGTCTCTCCGTCTCTCCGTCTCTCCGTCTCTCCGTCTCTCCGTCTCTCCCTCTCCCTCCCTCTCTCTCTCTCTCTCTCTCTCTCTCTCTCTCTTGCTGACCCTAAGCCCTAAACCCTCATCCCTGAACCCTGCTAAACCCAGACTCGGACCCTAAACCTTATAAAACCCTAAGCCCTCAACCCTCAACCCTAAACCCTAAACCCTCGCCTGTCCAAGCGGATAGCTCACATCAAGGACCTCGGCAACCTTGGCGCCCTCCACCTTCGAAAGCACCCACGGATTTTAAGGACCAGCTTGGACTTTAGGTTTAGGGTTTAGGGTTTAGGCTTAGGGTTTAGGGTTTAGGGTTTAGGGCTTAGGGGTTTAGGGTTTAGGGCTAGGGTTTAGGGTTTAGGGCTTAGGGCTTAGGGCTTAGGGTTTAGGGCTTAGGGCTTAGGGTTTAGGGTTTAGGGTTTAGGGTTTGGGGACCAGCCTGGAGTTGAGGTTGCGGCATGGTCTGCTAGTATGCATGCATCTCATGTCATATGCATATACAATAATAATAACAATAATAATAATAATAATGATAATAATAATATACCATGGTCATATAGTATGTATGTATTGTCTTGTACAGAACATACAATATCTAGCATGTAACATAATCAATGTTAGATTTGATGTACTAACTACGTATATGTCTTCTTGGGTGTGGGATGTAGGGCCCTTCTAGGCGGTGTGAGGCAGCAAGCAAGTCGGAGTCTGGGCTTTCGGCATATGCCGTGATGCGAGCTTTGCGGGCCTGCCAGGCTTCACAAATGCAATCTCCATGTGGGTATATCTCAAAATAGGGGTACCCCGTTTATACACCAAATAGAATCCCCTTGAAGGGACCCCAAAAAGGGTGCTCCTATTTCGGAAACCCCTAAACCCTAAACCCCATCTTCAGAAGCCCCCCACTTTAGTAGGGTCCCCTTGAACAAAGTCAAGTTTGTCTGGCTACTCAGAATCGTGTGATTGTTTGGGCATTTGGGGTGGGGTCCGCAATTGGGGCCATTTCAAGGAGAGACAAAGTCAGCTCCGGCTGTTCCGGAAGCAGGTCCAACCTTAAACCCTAAAACTGCCAGAAAAGACCGTTAGGGATCCATGTACCTCTTATGCTCAGACACTTGGGTGCAGGAAACCCTTGAAGCCCCAAGTATATACTCTATGAGTTTGCGAAATTGGGGGGGGGGGGGGGGGGTACCTTCTTGGGGTGCTGAGAAAAAAAGGATACCTACTACCTGGATATTGAGGGCCGCGTATTTTCGTCAACCCGCATAACCCATATAAGTATCATGTATCCTTAGGAGTCGGGCCTCCAACTTCTAAAATGACCTAAAGCCACTAGACATGAAAGGAACCTCCCTTTAAAAGTCCCAAGTATACTATATGAAATTGGGGGGGTTACCTTCTTGGCGCCCTTATTATACAGGAACCATAGAAGTACCATGGATCCTTTTCGGGGGAGGGTCGGGCCTCCAACTTCAGTCGCAGCCAGCCTCCCCGAACGACCTCCTGGGCGCTCTCTGCGCCTCAGTGGCGTGTTCGGTGGCCTGTTAGCGTCTTCGAGGCCTACACCCTAAACCCTAAACCCTAAACCCTAAACCCTAAACCCTAAGCTGCATCTGGGGCCCAAGCTCAGGTATCCCGAGGCCACGATCTTCGAGGAGATCGTCAGCAACCAGGCCGGGCGTGAGGAAGTGTTGTTCTGGATGATCTCGGATGACATCACCCCTAAACCCTAAACCCTACACCTATAGGGCGAGCTCTCTAAACTAAATTCTGGTCCTTTTGGGGTCACGATTATAAGGCGGCCCAGAATATATATATATATATATATATATAGAAAATGGGACGCTGTGGGAGTGCACTTTTTTGTAACAAAAAATGCAAAATTTCAAACAAAAAACCTAAAAACACACGAACAACTGTGCAAAAAGGTATAATACACAAAACAAAAAACCAAAAAAACCAAAAAAAAACAAAACAAACCAAAAAAACCCAAAAAAACAAAAAAAAACAAAAAAAACAAAAAAACCAAAAAAACCAATCCTGAGAGACTCTTCCCAGGGGTCCGGGTCCCCAACAGAGTCCCTCAGGATTGGTTTTTTTTGTTTTTTTGGTTTTTTTGGTTTCGTGGGGGGACTCTGTTGGGGACCCGGACCCCTGGGAAGAGTCTCTCATATTTTTTTAAAGGTTTTGTGAGATTTCATGTCTGAGTGCCCTCTTGTACGTGACAAAAGCACTAACATGGACAATCCAGCACACCGCATTATGTGTTTCTCTCATCTGGTGGGCGATGAACGAAATGTCCTGATGCTTGCGAGCAGAGACGTGACAAAATACTCTCTAGGTCCTGCTTTGCACAAATTTGAACAACATTGATATACTATCCATGAATTCCGTGCTCCCAGCCGCATGGTTTGAAAAGCATGGGCTTTTTTGAAAACATTGGTTTTACCGATGTTTTCGGCTCAATCCTTCAAAAACATTGGTAAAACCAATGTTATCCATGAATTTCGTGCTCATTTTTTGGAAAACGTCGGTTTTGCCAATGTTTTTCAGCTCCATCCTTCAACAACATTGGCGAAACCCATGTTTTCCATGATTTCGTGATCTGAGGCTCTCTCCCAGCCACCATTTCTCGAGGAGGTACCAAAAACAAACTCGAATCCTGCAAAATCTCGAGAGAGTACCAAAACCTCCATAAAATCAATCACGCCCCAATACGCAAGACAGGACATCTATCCTAAAAACTATACCTTAGCTAGGGTATCTCAAGCAGTCATCCCCCAACAAGCAAAACCTAATATCTATACTAAACACTGTACCTTGGCAACATATTTTTAAGACATCACGCCCTAATGTTCCTACCAATTTAATAAGGCTCCTATCAATTTAAACAGGGTTCTTATTCATGTTACTAGGATTCGCAAAGGGTTTTAATTAATTTTAAGGATTAGGCTCATATTAGTTTAGTAGGATTCTTATTAGTTCTTGTTAAAGGCTTCTATTGTTTTTTCAGGCCTATTGGTTCCTATTCATTTTAGTAAGATTCCTTCTCGTTTTAATAGGATTCCTGTGAATTGCAACCCGGGTTCTTTCTGATTTGTCAAGGGTTCCTATTCATTTTAATCGGCTTCCGTCCTATTATCTGTTATCCGGTTCCGAGATTTCAATAGAGGATTCCTATTCATTTTCATAGGATTCCAATAAAGTTTCATAGGGCTCCTAATTATTTTAATAAGGCCCCTACTCATGTGATAAGATTCCTACAAATTTTAATCAGATTCTTGTTCATGTTAATGGGATTCGTACTAATATTAATAAGGATCTCATTCAGATTCTTGTTCATGTTAATAGGATTCGTACTAATATTAATAAGGATCTCATTCACTTTAAAGGGGTTCCTATTGGTTTAGGCTCATGCTTATTTTAGTAGGGTTCTTATTATTTTTCTAAGGGGTCACATTTTTTTATAGGAGTCCGATTGGTTCGTATTAATTGTAGTAGGGTTCCTCTTCAGTTTAATAGGGTTCCTTTTCATTTTACAAGGATTCTTATTTTTTGTGAAGGGCCTCCAATTCATGTTAAGAGGCTTCCTATTGACTTTACGGCTCCGATTGATTTAACATAGGGTTCCTGCGGATTTAAAATAGAGGATTCCTATTGTTTGCACTCCCACAGCGTCCCGGTCTCTATATATATATATATATATATATATGTATATATATATATATATATAAATACATATATACATATCTATAGAGGGCGTCCAAAAAAGGGACCAGAATTTTGAGAACTGACCCTATGGACAGCGAGATGCAACATGCAAAGCGCTGCGTTGATTCTCTACTTGATGGCTCATGGTACTTATTAGCCAATCATAACTGCACTTACAATCCAAATTATTGGAACCATATTAGGGCACTTGAGGGGCTTCTAAGTGGGTTGTAAGTCCAGTTGTAATCGGCTACTAAGTACCCAAAACCCAAAACCCTAAACCCTAAACCCTAACCTCCAAACCCTAAACCCTAAGCACTAAACCCCCAAGTCAGGCCGAGATCCCTGCCCGGACGCAGTAGCCTTCGGGCCTTGTGGCTTCAGGGCTGTCGCAGCTTCAGCGCAGCAAACCGCTAGGCCCACAACAGTAGCCTAGGGTTTAGGGTTTAGGGTTTAGGGTTTAGGGTTCAGGGTTTAGGGTTTAGGGTTTAGGGTTTCGACTCTCACACTGGCATAAGCGGGCGAGGCAAGTCCTGTCGAGGGTTTAGGGTTTAGGGTTTAGGGTTCAGGGTGTCGGGTTTCGGGGTGCCCCTTTTTTGGTTTAAAGGGGGCAGATGAGGGAACCGAAGCCCTAAAAAAAGTAGGGGCCTGCTCTGGGTCTTCGAGCATGCTTGCTTCTGTTCCTGGTCTTGAGTTGCCAGCTCATGAGCTCAGCCCCAAGGCCAGGCGCAGAGCATGATATGGGAGTTTCCGAAATTAGGGGTACCTTCTTGGGGTCCTTATTTTCAAGGGATTCCTACTATTTAGGGGTCTAAATTAGGGGTCCCTCATTTTCGTGATCCCCCATATGAGGGATAATGTGGAGTCCGGACTGCCTGACTGGGGCATCAGCTGGCCACCACCTGTGCCGAAGAAGGTGTAGCGCGCAGCCTGAGACAAAATGCAGGGGGGTGGGGGGGGGGGGGGGTGTGGAGGGTCAACATTCCCCGTTCGCCCCGTCTTCATGCTCCCTAAACCCTAAACCCTTTTGCCTAAACCCTAAACCCTAAACCCTGAACCCTAAACCCTAAACCCTAAACCCTAAACCCTAAACCTAAACCTTAACTAAACCCTAAACCCCAATCAAACTTTCTTGCACTCCGAGGCCCTGCTGATCAAGAGTTGAGACCACGGGCTGGGAAACCCCACAGCTCGCTTGCATGCCGGTGATGTGTATAGCCTGTGCCACTTAAGTAGGCCACAATGACTCATGTATCAACCTAAACCCTAAACCCTAAACACTAAACCCTAAACCCTAAACCCTATCATGTAACAAATGCAGTCGGTGGAAGTGAGGTAGCTCCCGGCTGCGTACGCAATACTAGCCGGCATGCATGCGGCGGCATTGTTTCCTGCAAGCCCTAAACCCTAAACCCTAAACCCTAAACTCTAAACCTTGTTGCTCTTGCCATCCTGAGTCGCATCGTGAGGAATTGCCAGATTTACGGGATCTGAGGCCGACACCCGGAGGCAAAGGACGACCTGCCTGGGTGTAGGCACCTTCCAGGCAGCTAGCTGTCCAGTATCCAGGGGAACTAAAGGCTAACCTTTGTGATTCTATAGGGGCTATCGTACCCCAAAAAGGTGAAAGGTTACCTACTCTACTACTAAGGGCAGTCTTCGATCTGCTACTTGCTGGACTCGAGGCCCTGATGTGGATGCAGCGGGGTTCAAGTACCACTGACTAAGGCTCAATGAACTCTTTTCCTGCGCGGTCCCCCTGCAATTTGAATTACTGGGCCGATAGTATATGCCTCCAACAGGCCCGACTTGTTGGTCGAGGATCTGGGATCTGCTTACTTGCAGGGTTTGGGGTTTGCTGGCCGCGGTCAGAGTGATGCTGCAAACCCCTGCCTCCAAAACCTCTACTCTTCAGGGAACAGTACGCACTCTGTACATGTTCTGCCTCGCAGACCATGTGAGCAAGCCTATCGCGCAGCCCTAAACCCTAAACCCTAAACCCTAAAGCCTAAACCCTAAACCCTAAACCCTAAACCCCAGCCGGAGCAATTCTGGAACAAAGGCGCCTCCTTGGGAGGCGTCGATTCCACCGACGGCTTGAGGACGCCCGGCCCTTTCAGGGATGCGAAGTTGCTTGCCACGGCGTGGCCTTGGGTGGCGCGAGGACTCAGAAGTTGGTTTAGGGTTTAGGGTTTAGGGTTTAGGGTTTAGGGTTTAGGGTTTAGGGTTTAGGGTTTCGGGCTACTAAACGATCCTCTAGAGGGTATGCCCTTAAAAACCTCAAGCCAGCAAACCCACAGGCCATCTAGGGAACCACTCAGACTGGGACCCTGCTGCCACCAAGTGGCCGAAGGGCACCAGGGGCGTGGCAAGTCCAGGGCCAGGCCTTTCAAAGCCTTAGCAAACCAGCGAGGCTTCCAAGGCTTCTCCTAAACCCTAAACCCTAAACCCCACACCCTAAACCCTAAACCCTAAACCCTACCCCCTAAACCCTAAACCTTCTTTGCCCTACTTGATGACCCTAACTTACATCACACCACAGGATCAGACAGGGCACCCTTACCCCAAACTTGGCATGTTCCCCTTATACTAACCGTCCTGAATAGGGATAAAGTACCCCCTGCCATAATCTGTACTAAGGACTGTTAGTAAAAGGGGGAACATCCCAACCCTAAACCCTCTCTAAACCCTAAACCCTAAACCCTAAACCCACCTTTCAGCCCGAAGCAACGAAGCTCTGAGCATTTCAGGCCGAGGCGAGCCACCACATTGACTGCCAGGTCGGTCCAGTTGACATCTTAGGCCACAAGAGGGTTTAGGGTTTAGGGTTTAGGTGGGGCCCAAGCTATGATGCACAGAATGTCGTATGGTGCTACCCTGCCCAACCCAGGCCTCCCAGTCTCAACCCTACACGCTGATGAGAAATCCTAGAAACCCGATAAACCCTACAAACCCTGTAAACCCGAAAAAACCCTATCCCGACAAACCCCACAAACCCAAAAAAAAAACATAAACCCTGCAAAAACCCTATAAGCCTTAAAAAACCCTTTAAACCCTTACCCTATAAGCCTTAAAACCCCCCTAAACCCTTAACCATCCCTTAACCCCTCAAAGAAACGAGCAAAAGCCCGTGTCCTCCCACGTTCTAAGCGTCGAACCTCCCAGCATAGTCAGCGGCTGCGTCGCAGGTCCCCAGCCGATTGGGGGCTCTGTGACCTTCAAGCCAAGGCCTACCAACAACTATCTAGACGTACATGTATGCATGTAATACAAACCGAGAGTGTGTAGATAGATAGATAGATAGATAGATAGATAGATAGATAGATAGATAGATAGATAGATAGATACATAGATAGATAGATCGATCGACAGATAGTTATGTATAGTATAGCGTATACTTGTGTAAGGTATGTATGCATAAAAGACATATGTATACTTGCTTGCGCAGTTATTCATCTCGACATGCCGATGGCAAAGGGCAACCCGTGCATTCTCAGATCGTGCCATGACGTCCATCGTCGACCTCTTGCGTCTACCTCCAATACTGTCGTTCCACTGCTGTCTTGACCATACCCCTAAACCCTAAGCCCTAAACCCCCTAAATACTGGTTAAGCAGCAGATTCCCGTTCTTCCCAGGTCTGAGTCTCGCTCGTTCTCGCGTTTCCTTCAATCTGGCATCAAGCTACATTGGCCCGCGCCCAATGACTCTACCTCCCTCCCCAATAACCAATACAGTTACCCTAGACCCTAAACAGTTTCGTTGAAAACTCTTCTGAACATGCCGACTATTACAAAGCAAGCTACCCTCCTCAAACTGTCCACACCTGCTGTTCGAGGACGCGTGTGGTGAGAAGAATGCTCCTGCAGGGCCGACTTCAGACATGGCTGCAGTACAAGTACTGCTTAGGGTTTCCTGGTGATTTCTTTTTGGGTTTAGGGATTTGGCAGGCATAAGGTTCCAGAAAAGGTTTAGGCATACAGGGGTTTTTCGGCGTAAGAGGAATTATTCGAGCCTAGTGGGGTTTACAACCCTTCTTTGCATATGGACTGATGCTGACAGAAAGAGCTTCATAAACCACGAACCCTGGTTCTTGAGCATGGACAGAGACCGAAACAAGCATGCTAAGAACCCGAAACCCCTCGCCCTGTATACCCCACCATCCCCAAGCACCCTTTGTAACTACAACTATAACTCCATAACTGTAACTCTAATTCTTACTCTATAACTAGAACTCGGACCCTAAGCCTTGTGCTTCTTTCCCTTGGGTTTGTAGGGGGAGCGGCCGGCATTCCTTGAACCGGCTGTGCCGGCGGCCGGGGCTGGTGCCTGGGATCAGACTGGGAAGGCTGTGTTGGTGGGACTTTGCTTTCAGTTGCATATGAGTTTAGGGTTTCTCTCTCTCTCTCTCTCTCTCTCTGCCGCGCCATCCCCTAGGGTCTTGCTACGTTTAGGGTTTGGGGTTTGGAATTCTAGGGCTTAGGGTTTAGAATTTAGGGTTTAGGGGCTATGTAGTCGGAACCAGAATAGGGTCACATCTATCATTTATAGTCTATATACTCATGTTACATATCTATATATGTACACACACATACACACACATGTATATATATATATAGATATATAGAGAAAGAGCTTCAACAAGAAGAAGCTGCGCACATCACCTGAAAGGAGGTGAATGTCCACGTGTCATATCTTAAACCATCACAAACCCCGCCCCGGCACTTAGCAGCAAAGCTACCCTATCCCTTGCACTCTCACAAAACCCTGAACCCCACACCCCATACCCTAAACCCTAGACCCATGAGTGGCTTGCACGTGATTTGCAAACTTCAAACCTCTGATACTGAGAATGATAACCCCAAACCCAACCCCTACAAGACTAGACGGGAAGTTGAAACAAATGCTGCCCCTTACATTAGCATTAAAAATGAGATCATTCCGATACTTGAGATGCTGCCGCCACCAGGGAAAACATCCTACTTGAAAATTCATAACCCTACACCCTGAGCTAAACCCTACAGCCCCTCAACCCTAAACCCTAAACCCTAAACCCTAAACCCTAAACGCTAAACCCTAAACCCTAAACCCCGCCTCGACGACCTCGAAGGCCCCACCCTGGTCTGCGAAGAAGGCGGGGGCGCGCCGGAGAGGCTGTGACTCGAAGTCCTGTCTCGACTTCGTAGGGTTTAGGGTTTAGGGTTTAGGGTTTAGGGTTTAGGGTTGAGGGTTTAGGGTTTAGGGTTTAGGGTTTAGGGTTGAGGGTCTCCGTGTTCGGAAATGCACGCATCTGACCTTGCACCTCCGAGGCCTGGCTGCGGAAACTTCGGAGGTCCCCCCTCAAACCCCAAAAAAAATGCAAACCCTAAACCCTAAACCCGAAACCCGAAACCCTAAACCCTGAACTTGGGATGTTCCCCCTTATACTAGCAGTCCTTATAATGGGGATTAGGGTACCATAATCCGTATTCAGGACTGCTATAGTATAAGGGGAACATCCCAACCCTGAACCCTATGAACCCTTAACCCTAAATTCTGGGCACATTAAAGCTTGCTAAATACACAAACGTTTTATCAAGTCTTCTCATACCAACACGCGCTCGGTACCATCCTCTGAAACCCTCAACCCCAGACCCCAAACCCTAAACCCTAACTGCAGGAAAGGGTTTTTTCTGGTTTTTTGGGGGGGGGTTCAGGGGGGCCCCTGGATGCCTCCAGGAACGGAAGCGGGAAGGGCCGCCGCGGAGGCACGTCCTGGCCCATCTCAGGGTTTAGGGTTTAGGGTTCAAGGTTTAGGGCTTCTGCAGCACCAGGGTTTAGGGTTTAGTCGGCTTATGCTTCACCTTCAGGGTACGGGTTTAGTCGGCTTATGCTTCACCTTCAGGGTACTTCTAATTAGTGTGGGCGAGGCTTCCTAGCGTAGAGAATGGTAAGAAACCGGAAGGGGCAAAACTAACGCACGCGCTTCGCAACCAATTTGAGCAAGCAAACGGGGAGAAGTGACATCGAGTCATCACATTGAAACCTGCTCTGAGACTCTTTCCCTAAACCCTGTCACCCTGTCACCCTAAACCCTACACTTAACCCTGAACCCTGAACCCTAAACCCTAAACCCTCTTTTTGGAAGCCCCCTCCGCCCCCCCCCCCCCCAATCCAAGCAGCCCGCAGCTCCTGCCTCGATCGGAACGCCTACAGCCGTGCGGTTTCCCTGCTTGGTGGCCTTAGCCGGTGCTACTCGCAGTCTTCTCTGGTGGAGTTTTTTTTTTCCCCCACCCGTTTCGTGGTGGAGGGTTTAGGGTTTAGGGTTTAGGGTTGAGGGCTTTGGGCTTAGGGTTTAGTTACGTGTTTTCTGGCGCGCGAACTATGCTTCGAGCCCGACCCAAGCAGATGTAACCGTACTTGCAGCATTGCAGCTACCCATGACACTTCCAGTGCGGGGGCCGGCTGCTATTGGCCCTTTCCTTCCGGGCTCCTGCTGCTCGCCGGGCCGTGTTCGGACTCCAGTTGCGTGTATGCACGAGCGCTTGATGGCTTTGCAGTGCATCAGCGAGTAACTACATCGAGTAAAGGCACGATCTGAAATTGCCGATAGAATTCACTAAAGAACGAAAGATCACTGTCATTTGCTATCTACGAGCCGGTACATTGAACCCTCATCGCTAGAAACCGGAGCCGCATGTCAGAAAGGCCTGTGGAATCCTGGCGCAAGCAGTGAAAGAAGGATTGGGGACCCCACCCCCGCCAGAGTACTGATCGTGATGATGGCATCCACCGGGATCTCGATCCTCCAGCACTGCTTTTGATAACTTTCAGATTTCCCGCAGGCTGCACTGATTTCTGCTTCGAGGATCACGCCCTACGCCGGATCGCATGCTTCCCAGTCCAAGCCTCAATCTGCAAAAGTAGGGCCATGCCTGAAGCCTGCTTGGGTTCTTGGGTTTGACCGTTGCCCATGTCAGCTGATGGCTGCAGTCCTCAAGACACCTTGCTCGCTCACGTGCATGTCGGGTAAGCGCTGGAACCTCAGGAGTTCAGCTTCGTACAAGCTACATGCCACAGGACGCATCGGCCACGCAACCACAAACGAGTGGGAGCAAAGCGGCACCCTGACAAAGAGGTGGCAAGTGGCTTGCGACGTGCGAAGAGCTCACTTCAAGCCGCAGAGTATAGCTGCTAACATCTACAGCAGTCAAAAAGATTTGCTAAACAAATGTTAGCCAAACTCCTCTGCACATACTGCAGACATGACAGTCTAGTGCTCCGCAAGGCCCCTGCCAGTGCGTGCTATTGGTAGCCCACACCTGCAGACGTCAGAGTACTAGGTTACTAGGGCATCTGAAGCCGAAAAAGTGGCAGCACGAGCCTGGTATGTGTGCATGAACCAATCGGTTGTCTAAATCACATCCGACCTGTGCACAGATAAAACAGCCTAAGTATGAGAATGCTACTGAGACTACCATAAGGCTCCTCCTTACAATCGGAAGCCCAAATCCTAAACCCCAAGCTCCAAACTCTAAACCCTAAACCCCCTCAGAGAAATGCCCAGTCGTGACCTCAAGAGCTCGGCCACGTGCTGCAGAAGCGAGTCTGCCTGGGGCATCACACTGAACCCAGCTCTCCTAACCTTGCTTCTAGAGGGAATGAGGGGAGTGAGGGTTTAGGGTGCGGAGCTGCAGCTGGTATTGTAGAAAGGAGTTAGTGTTGGGAGTTGGAAGGGTCAACGTACCCGGAAATCTTGTTTGGCTCAAGATGGCCGAGAGCCGTCAGCTTTTGTTGAAAAAGTACGTACGCTTGGGGTTGGGTTTAACGGGTTGGAGTAGTCCCGTCCCTTCTCCCTTATCCTGTCCCTTTAGGGTTGGGTGTTCTTGTTTCTGGTTCGATCTGGGAAATCTATATAGGCGACTGTTGAGGGTTGGTTTCTTTCCCTGTTCCGTTTCGGTTGCCCCCGTAGGTTATGAGCCCAAATTAGGTTCCCTGCGGTTGAGTGTTCTCTTAAGGTTTTTGGGATCAAGAAGCAATGCCTTCTCCCAAGCGATGGCTCCAGCCTTCCTCGGACGGTGGACAGAATGGTGGAGCTGGAAATGGTGCAGCTGAGTCTCTGGGTGAAAGGGCGGTGCTGGAAGAGGTGATGCCCGGCGCTGAAGAACATCTGGAAGAAGCCTTGGTTGCAGAAGACCCCAATGTGGGTATGAATCCCAATGTGGATATGGTTAGCAATGCTGAAGCTGAAGGACGTGCTGTTTCTGTATCGCCAAAGCCTGGTGAAAAAAGGAACTGGGACGCGACTGGTGGTATAGACCGTGAAATGGAGGTGACTGTTTTACGCGTGTTGCAAAAACATGGGTATCAGCCGTCGACTTCGACTTCGGGCCGAATGGTAGACCAAGGGTCTCAGACCAATCTGATTGGAGAAGTGCTGCAAGCTGCCAGGAGGCCTCTGAACAAGATTAAAGGGGATCCCTCGGCGAGTTCCCTGGGTGGTGGAAGCGGTTACGAACAGAAGGGCGCGGACAGCTTTGAAGCTGCACCAACTGCTGAATATGCCATGGGGGAGGAGGAGATCTTACAGATGGAGGCTGAAAGGTTGCGCCAGTTGTCAGAAGAAGAGGATGAGATGCGTCAAGTCTCTGAAAGGGATGGTTTTCGGAAAGATGAGCATCTGATCAAAGCGTGCGATGGGACAACGTGGGAATGGCACTTCCACGAAGATGGGAGACAATATTACTACTGCCTGGATACGCAGGAAAGCAAGTGGACGTTGCCGGTTGTAGGTGAAAAGATGAAGAGTGACGAGGTGGTTGGGTCTCCTTCGGGCAATGAGCTGGAAATGGAGGCTGCACTGGGTTCTTCATCCTCTACTCCGACGCCTGAGTCTACGAGGGCATTCCAGGGTAGTGTAAATAGTGTAGGTGAAAAAGATTTTTCCTCTACTATCAGGGATAGCGGTCCTAGGGCTGGTGGTGACGCCCCGACCTCGGGTTCTCCTGATGAGGAGGGGATTTCTGGAAACCGAGCAGACATCGCTGAAGCTCAACATCTGGATCGGGAAGAAATGGAAGCGCTTTCTGAGGGTGTGGCAGCGGTGGAATCGGTGGGTCCAGAAGAAAAAATGCCCAATGTGGAGATCGGAACTGTGTCGGCTGCAGAAGAGCGAGTGGTGGATGTGGTACCTGTCGTTCAGGAAGGTGGTCCTGGAGATTCGGAAGACGGAGGGAAAAAGTTGTGTGTTACGACTGAGGAGGTCTGTTCGTTTGGTGCCAAGAATCCTGCCATTCAAGGGGAAAAAGAAGCTTCTGGAATAGCTGGAGACACGGAAGATCTGAAAGATGAGGCCTGGAGCGCCAATGATGCGCGGGTCAATGCGCCAGATAGTACCTGGAGTGCGAAAGAAGCACGGGTTGAGGTGCATATGGTGTCACGTTCCACGGGCGACTGCAACAATGGGGCGCAGGTCTCCGCAGCAGCTGATGACGGAGGTTTACAGGTGGACGCACTGGTGCAACCTGAAGTTAGCTGCGAGGAACGAAATGGCAAGGGCTACACCGGAGCCGATGAGGCAGCTGTGGTCAATGATGGTGGCAATTCTCCTTTGGAAACCATGGAACCAAAGGAGCCTGCGGTGGAAGAAAATGTACCTGCCGTGGATGAGCAATTCAATAGCCCTGCAGTGGAAGAAAATTTGCCTGCTGCAGAAGGCGTCACAAAAGACTCCAATGATGGGTCCACTCCCATGAAGGGGGAAGTATTGCCGTCTGGAAGCTCGCCGGAAGTCGACACCGAGCGAACTGCAGCAGATGGGGCAAGGCCATTGGCTGGAAAAAAGGAAGGTCCTGAGCCCCTGGAGCACAAGATGGATGATCTTGTGGGACTCGTGCAGGAGCAGGACGAGCAGTGTGACCCAAAGGTGGAGACAAAGGATGTGCCAGGAGCCGATGATACAGAGATGGTTTCTGGAGAGCATGCAAAGAAAGTGCCCCGAGCAGGAGCCTTGGAATCACCTGGGGAACATTGCTATCAAGAGGGAGATGAGATCATGGGTCTAGTGCGCTGCATCAATGGGTATGGAGCCTTTTTGGACCATGGTGATGTGAATGTACTGGTTCCTGCAGAAGGGAACAACGCACATCAGTTCAAATTTGGTGATACTGTCAATGGAACAGTGAAGCGAGTGGAAGATGATGGTACCATAATCTTGGACACCTTTCTGGTTTTGGAAGAGGACGAGGAGGACTCTTCTTCGACGCTGCGTAAATGGAAACCCAGCGGCTGGAGTACGTGGTGGACAGATTCATGGTATGCTGGTCAATGGTACCAAGATTCCAACAGTCAATGGGACTGGAAACAGGAGGAAGAGCAATCCGATGAAGGGTTTGCTGATCAGGAGTTATCCTCAGAAGAACGAGAGGAAAGGCAACTTTATGGAGAAAAGATCTATAAAGCTCTTCTTGAGGATGGAAAGGCTGATAAGGCCTATGTGAGCAAAATCACTGGGATGCTGTTGGGTCGCCCAATGGAAGAGCTACAGGAGTGTGTTGCAGATCATGCATTCCTCAATGCGGAAGCTCGGCGCGCGTATGGCATCTTGCAAAGTGATGGTTGGAAGCCTGATGGTACGGAAAGCACAGGCTTGGGAAAGATAACCACCTTTTCCCGAAAACAGTACCACAACGCGCTTTTCGAACTGGCATGCAGAAAAAGGAGATTTACTCGGCCAGTTGTGGGTGAAGCGGTGGCAACGGTGCTGAGTCAAGGGGAAGATGAGCTTTGGAACGCGCTTTGGCTGGACACCAAGCGATTTTTGCAGGAGCTTGATGGTGCAGTGGAATCCATGAGTAAAAGGGAGAACAAGCCAATGGAAGCCTACATGGATCCTGACCAGTACAAAAAGGCTTACATGACTCCAAAGACTGTGGTGTCACCTGGATACAGCAAGCTGTGCAAGTTCTTCAATCGGGGAAGGTGTCGCAATGGTGATGAGTGTTCCTCTGAGCATCGTCGTTATGGTGAAGGTTGGCCAGGAGGAGGATCAACTGAGCCAAAGAACAGCCAAGAAGCTGGAGATGAGGATGGGAACATTGGTGACCCTCCCACAGAGGAAGGCACGGTGGATGAGGCACAGCAGGAGCGGGAGGATTCAGCCTTCCGGGCCAAGTACAACTTTGGTAAAGGGGCATCAAAGGGTGAACCTACGTCGGGTGAGCCAAAAGGTCGGCTGTGTCTGTATTACAATCAAGGTGGTTGTAAATATGGGACTACATGCAGGTATCTTCACAACGATGACATAGCATTGGAAGGGACTTGGGAGCCCGGCAAATCTTGGGACAATGCTTCCAGGAAGGCACTAAGGGACGCGGGGTTCCACCATTGCTGTTTCGATTATTACCTCAAAGGACATTGCCGGAAGGGGTTAAATTCCTGCAGATTTTCCCACGACGAGATGTCAGATGAGCGGCTGGCGCACCTGAAACACTTGGTACATGTGGCCAATCAGGTCCGGTTTGAAAAAGAGAGAGGATGGGAGATTTCAGACAGGAGCACTTTTCAGCCACCTGCGAGTGGGGGAGCTGAATCTTCATCATCCTCAGCACCAAAAGCGCTGCAAATGACCAATGTGTCACAAAAAGAAGGTGAAAAGGGTATCCTGGATGAAGCAGAAGATGATGAACAAAAGAATTCGGTGGCTGAGTCCACTGGTACTCGGCTTCAAAATCCAGAGGAGCCAATTGAAAATTGGATGGCTCGCAACGAACACCTTTGGGTGTATACCCCTCATGTAAGTGAGGTGATGATTACACTTGGTGTGACCAACGTGTCCGACTTGCAAGAGTTCATCTTTGTGGAAGATTTGGTTGACAAAGGGATCAACAAAGTGACAGCATGTAAAATTTTGCAATTGGTGGGTGGTGTCCGATATCGTCCGGGGGGACCGGAAAAAGCAGTTCCTTCCGATGCATCTGTACGGGTACAACAATCTTCTGGGAGCAAGGAAGCTGGAAGAGAGGCGGTGCGAACCCTCACTCAGGTGCGTGAAGTCCGCTGTGCGTACAGAAGCTGCAGCTGGTGGGAGTTGGAATGCCGCCGGTGAACCCACCAACAAAAAAGTATCGGTCAAGATCAAACCCTGTAAAAAGGGGAAGGCCCTTGCTGGATAAAAAACAGGTGCGACAGGTGCCACGCTCTCGCTCGCAACGGCGAGTGCAGCCGGCAGAAGTGGTGGAAAAGCCAAAGCCACTGGAACTGAAGCCTCGTGGTGGGTTGTCGTATCGGTTCAGCAGAGCGTGGGCAGATGTGGTGGATGATGATGATCAGGCGGAGGCTTTGGTCTCTTATGCCGTTTCCTCAAGCGATTCAAGCGAGGAGGAGACCAATGCCGCGCAACGTATGAGGGAAATCTTTTTGCAAGAAAGGGATTCACAGAGAACTGCGATTCGTGGCAATGTTCCGATGGGTGGTTCTTCAGGCCCCAATGACGGGCAGAAAAAATCGGTTCACCTTGGCGAAGGGCGCGACAAAGCGTCGCGGGGGGAGACCCGCCAAGAAGTGACTTCTCAAGTTTTTTCGCTACCACAACCTTCTCGTCGAACTGAACAGTCCCAAAAAAGAGCAAGGGATGGCTCAGTTATAGTTGGTTCGCTGGCGGTGGGCTCCACGGATGAGGTTTTACCTGGGCAAGGTGTTGCTGGACAGGTGAATGTATCTGAAAGCGCTCAAGTTCTTCCTGGGCAAGAAGTGGCTGGACAGGAGACGGCGCTGGAAGGAGCAGTGCAAATTTCTGGCGAGGAGACTGACCAAAACGAAGGAGAAGGTGGGAGCAATGAACTCCGTGGTGATGGTGCGAAGACATTGGATGTTCGTCCGGTGAAGAAGGATCCTCAGCAATTGCTGGTTAAAGGTCTTCTGACTCGGATTTATTGGAAGGTTGCTGTTGGCAAGTTGCCTGTGGGGCAAAGGGACTTTCAGAAGGGGTCCAATAAGATGGATCGAAATTTGGTTATTAGCATGTCATCCGAGGGTGCAAGCGAACAGGATTTGAACCTGGCACTGGAGGACGACGCTGATCAGTCAATGGATGATGGTGCGATGGTGGTTATGGTGTATGATCCAGGAACGCTGATTCAGTCGCCAACAACTGATTGGGTTATGCATCGCGGTTTGACCGATCGTACCATCTGGCCGGCAATAGCGGCTGCGGCACAGAGGATATGTGCTGAAATGGTTCAAGTGGATGAATTGAATGCCCAGTTGGGGACTGGAGCACTCCTTTTTCAAAGGAGAGATCAAGGACACTATGGTGATTTGCATCATTCGTTCCATGACAATCCGTGCTTGCCGGTGGTGGGAAATTATCCTCTTTCGGTGATGGGTGCATTGCTATCTCCTGGTCTGGAAGGGGAATTCAGAAATACTGATAAGTTTGGAACTGCTATGGAGGCAATTGCCTACGATTGGAGCCGCAGTCCAGGCATGGAAGTTCACGTCGAACTTATGGCAAGGGTAGCCAAATTGGTTGCTCCGTTCCTTACCCTAGGAGGCCAAGGATCAGTGGTGAATTTGGAATTTCTCTGGCAGCGCGGGAAGGCTCAGTTGATGGAGTTCCTTCAGGCGGCGACATGCGCTGATCAATTGGAGGTTCTCTGGAAAAGGATGGACGACGATGTTGATGAAGAAGTGGATCCTTCGACAGCGGTGCTGGAAGTTCTGGGACCGGAGGATGCGGTACTTGATCAAGGGAACAATGAATCCCTTATTCCCATTGAAGATGCTGGAGGTGAGACAATTGGTGACACTGGAAGGGATGGCAAAGCGCCAGAAGTTTCTCCGGAAGAGGAGACATCCAGTGGGTCGTCAAGACTGGCTGGCACAAGGATTTTCTTGTGGTCAGTGTACTCTCGCGTTGCTTCCAATTTCTCTACGCAGGACCGCACTACTGGTAAGATCTTTGACAGCACAAAGGGGTATCCTGGTGAAGGACCAAACAATGGTGACAATCCTTCCTCTAAGAGGAACTTACCCTGGATCTCGGAAGACTACCTCGACGAAGTGGTGTCAAAAAAGATGGAAAGGTCTTCAGATATGGATGGGTTGGATGGGTTTGTTCCGGGAAGTGAGGGACCGTTGGAAAAGGTAGAGGTGGAGAATGTTACTGCCTCTAGAATTCTTATGGCTCTTTGGAAGAAGGGATATAGAGCTGGGTATAAGAGGTTGTGTCGTTTGAACGCATCTGGATGCAAGGTTGGAGCAATGAAACATCCAATCAAAAGGGTGCAGAAGATCGGCACTAGAAAGGCCTTCATGAAAATGTTCAATGTTTTTGGATCGTCTCAGCATGGCTCAGGAGCTGGCGGAAAACCAATCATGAAGGTGGTAGGACCAAGGCCAGGTTTTCCAGCTGTACTCCAAGCATCAAATACTGATAGCACCTTGGGTGAAGGGAGCAGTTCTCAGGTACATGGCAATGTTCATGTAGAGCAGAATCGCCCTATGGACCGGTACGAGGCGGAGCGCTTGGAGAAGAGGAAGAAAGGCTTCTGCTATTGGTTCAGCAGGGGAAAAGATCGCTGCAAATTTGGTGAAGACTGCAAATTCATCCATTCAGAAGATGATGTGGTGCTGCATTCGTATTGGTGCAAATACTATGTGGCGGGGAGACCCTGCTTCGCTGGAAAGGAGTGTGCGTTCTCGCATGATGCAACTGGTGTGAGGTGCATCCAGTTTGCTCAGTCTGGGAAGTGTCGTTATGGTGACAGGTGTGTCTTTGAGCATGGTGATCCGCTGGATGAACAGAGGCCAAGGTCTCCAAGGACGCCCCCAAGGGATGGTCCAAGGAGAAGTTCTGGTGCAAAAGGTGGAGAAAAGGAGATCTCTCCTGAACAGTTCGATGATGGTGAGGAGGATTTTATGGTTTATGACGATGATACCAAAATGGCGGAACTGTTGATGGAGGCGATTTCATTTCTGTCCAATGGCAAGTCAGATTTGGCTCGAGCAGAGGCGGACCCACTGTTCAAACTCCTGAAGTTCAATGGAGATGCTGACCAGATGGATAGAGAATGGGTTTCGTGGACCACTGGTATGCTGTCCGTGCTGGAACTTCACGAAGTAGTGAAGTCGTATGATGTTTCGCTCGCGGAGGTGGAAGAATGGGTCAATGACCTGAGGATATGGTTCGAGCGAGCCAACGTGGGAGAAGAGAAAGATCCCAAAAGGGGCAAAAAGAGGTCCCTAGAAAGGGAATCCAGTAAGGATATTCCTGCCGAAAAGGAGGTGGTTGAGACTTCGGAGACGGAGGTTGCCGTTGAGGAGGAGGTAAAAAAGGTCAAAAAGAAGAGGAAAACTGCAGCTATCGAAGATCCTTACACTCTCCTGGTTCCAAAGCCGAAGAAGATGCCGGCGAACATTGAGAAGGGTGGATCATCATCCAATGCGGTGGTTTCTGCAGGGGAAAAAGCCTCGAAAATGCGCACAAAGTCAAACGTCGGTGGAAAGACGAAGAAGAAGGAGAAGAGTCAGAGCCCCAAAAAGGAAGAGGTGGTAGTGGTGAAAGGTCCTGAGGAAAAGGATCGTCCATCTGATGTGGATGCGCAAGCGTCTACCACTGTGAATGCAGAGCTGGGTCAATCTTGCCAAGCGATTGAGGACGCAAAGAGAGAAGGATTGGTATCCTCAATTCAAAGGTGCGTGCAGGATCCTGTTCTTACAGTTTCGGACCTAGAGTATATTCTGCTGCAACTTCACCTCAGTATTGCAAACCATCGGAAAAAGAAGTGACTGGATGGTATGGATGAAGGGATGGTTTTTCTCTTTCTGGAGACAGGTGCGCTGGATCGGCCAATGCGCTGAAAATGTGGTGGTTACTATTAAGGGTATGGAAATCCCTGATAGTAGAAGTCAGTAGCTTTTCGCGTAGCGAAGACCACGGTTTGTGGTGAAGAAGGCCGAAGAGTCTTCAATGAAAAGAGGATCATGGTGGAAAAAAGATTCTCTGTGGTTAGTGGGTTTAGCCAATGTGCTATAATTTCGTCCTGGATGACGTAAAACCATATTGTGCATTTCAAGCAGCTGGCTGCTGCCCTAATAGCAGTTTTTGGCCAAAGATCTGCACCTCCAATGTGTCCTAGGAAATCCTAGGACAGGGGGAGTGCGGAGCTGCAGCTGGTATTGTAGAAAGGAGTTAGTGTTGGGAGTTGGAAGGGTCAACGTACCCGGAAATCTTGTTTGGCTCAAGATGGCCGAGAGCCGTCAGCTTTTGTTGAAAAAGTACGTACGCTTGGGGTTGGGTTTAACGGGTTGGAGTAGTCCCGTCCCTTCTCCCTTATCCTGTCCCTTTAGGGTTGGGTGTTCTTGTTTCTGGTTCGATCTGGGAAATCTATATAGGCGACTGTTGAGGGTTGGTTTCTTTCCCTGTTCCCTTTCGGTTGCCCCCGTATAGGGTTTAGGGTTTAGGGTTTAGGGTTTAGGGTTTAGGGTTTAGGGTTTAGGGTTTAGGGTTTACCCTTCTGAATCTCATCCTCTAGGGGATTGGAACGGGCTGCCTTGTATGCAAGATTTTTCGGATTCGGGGCTGACACCCTTTCCCCCCCAAAACTCCTCTTAGAACCTTAGGTAAACAAAAAAACCCTTGCGGATATTCCCTTGGGTTTCAAATGATAAAATAAAAAGACAGAAGTTCCTGAAGGGGGCTATGGTATCGGTTCATTTTTATAAATAAAAGACAGAAATTCCGCCCTAAACCCTAAACCCGAAACCCTAAACCCTAAACCCTAAACCCTGAGGGGGGCTATGGTATCATGGTATCGGTCTCCGAGGCCCGAACTGCTGAGCTGGAGCCGCAGGCTCTGTGTGGCATTTGCCTTGACGCTGTGGAAGCCTCGGAAGTTCACAGCCGCCGCCTAAGGGTTTAGGGTTTAGGGTTTAGGGTTTAGGGTTTAGGGTTTAGGGTTTAGGGTTTAGGGTTTAGGGTTTAGGGGCACGAGAACAAGAACACACCAGACGAAATCCTGCATGCATTCCACGAGCACTCTGTGAGCCGACACCCTGACATGGGCGTTTCAATAGATAGGGGCACCCTTCTTGAGGGTCCCTTGGACGGGACTCTTATTCTATATGGGGTAGATAAGGGGTACCCCTAAACCCTAAACCCTAAACCCTAAGCCCTAAACCCTAAACCCTAAACCCCCCCCTACTTTGGGAAATACCCACATGGGCAGCGGCAGCGAATCCGAGGCAGCCACAGCCGCCATTGTACATGCAGCTTCCTGGCTGCTTCCCCTAAACCCTAAACCCTAAACCCTAAACCCTAAACCCTAAACCCTAAACGCACCAGCCGAAGCCCCTCAAAGATCATCCCTACGCCCTGGAAGCCCTGTGTGAACCCTCTATTGCGGGCAAAATGCGGGGGGGTACGCCCTTGGGGGGTCCCTTTAAGGGGATTCGATTCTGTTTGGGGTAGGTAGCAAAGGGGTACCCCAAAATCTACCCTCATGCACTAAGACCAGCTGGCCTTGCAAGGTCTCGAGGACCAGGGTGAACTCGGTCAGGTCGGCGCTTGCAGTGGTGACGTAGGTCCCGCCCTCCTGTGCTGTTCCTACTTGTCCAGTGCCTCGGGGAACTAAAGGTTAACCTTTGGGATTGTAAGGGGATGATATTACCCCAAAAAGGTGAAAGGTTACCTACTCCACAATTGTTCACAGGGTACCCAAGGTACTTAGAAACCGCTTCCTGAGCTGCGTATATTTACAACTTATACCCTTCGGCAGGAGCTGTCTTCCTCATCTTTTCTGCCACAACGCACCCTGGCAGCAAGAACGCCAAGCCCAAAACGCCCTCCCCCTAGTCTTTTCACAGCAGGCCTGTGAGCAATCGCCTGGAAGTTAGCGGAAACCCGCACCCCTTGACCCCTCAAGCCCTCTTAGCCAGTTGGGGGTGTAGAAGCCAGAACCCTTTTTTCAACCAGGAGCTCTCTGGTGCAGCAGTCTGATGTGTATTGGGGCTTGTGCCGGTGCAGCGACCCCTAAACCCTTAACCCCCTCCACAAAGTCCCCCAACGCCCTAAGCCCTGAACCCCGAAAGGCCCTGCACCTAGAATCCCTAAACCCCTATAGGCCCTGAAGCCTAAAACGCTATAGGCCCTGAACCTAGAATCCCCAAAACCCTAAACTCTAAACCCTGAACCCTAAACCCCTACAGGCCCTGAACCTAGCATCCCTAAACCCCCAAACGGTCCGGCAAGTTGCCCGCACCCTGGCCAGGCGGCAGATACACCCATCCTTTGGCTCCAAGGTTTAGGGTTTAGGGTTAAGGGTTTATAGGGATGCTTCAAGATTTTCCGAAGGACATCCATGTAACTAGTGGCTTTTTCTAGGCAGGGCATTTTTGTTTTGCAAGGTGCACTTAAGGTAGGGCTCCGGGCTCCGGGTGGAGGGCTCAGCAAAATCTGGCTTCCCGAGCTGCAGCTGAGAAATTGTTAACTTTGGGCCGCCCCAAACGAACTCTACGACGATTGTAAGGTCTGCGGGAAGTTGCATGTTCCCTTAGTATGGGCGCCCTTAAATGGGTACCCCTTGTATGCCCCTTATATCCCCTATGCAACCCAGGGGCCCATACTGCAGAACCCTTTAAAGGAGGTAAGGGGCCACATGAAGGGCCCAAAATGCTACCCTGAGATAAGGAGAGACTCTTGAAGACTCTTTTAGGGAGCCCTGTCCTGCCTGGAGCCTTTATAGAAGGCTTTCGAGATGGGTTTGGGGGGGATTGCTGCTCTTTCATGGCCAGTAGATCTAAGCTCTCTTCTATGCATTCCACGTGTGCCAGGGTTTAGGGTTGAGGGTTTTGGGCTTAAGTTCAGTGATGACCGAAGCCCTAAACCCGAAACCCGAAAAACTAAACCCTAATCCTAAACCCTAAACCCCCCCCACCCCATGGCCGATTATGGATCTGAGCAAAGGGCCGACTTTGGTGAACTGGGTGGTGTGAGCGGACATCCATACCGGCGCCAGCACCTCCCAGGTTTCAAGTTTCAGGGTTGTAGGGGGGCATAAGGGTTGAAGGTGCGAGGGGTTTAGGGTTTAGGGTTTAGGGTTTAGGGTTTAGGGTTTAGGTTATACGGGAGTTGTAGGGGTTAAAGCTTCCGGGGAGCGGGAAAATTTCCTGGGTTTAGCCGCTCACAGCCTTGGTACGAAGGGGGGAGGCCAGGCTTCCGGCTCGCGCATCGCAAGGGACATGTGTCCACCTGCTTCGAGCCCTTCCAGCCCTTCCCGTCCTGTTGTGGATCTACGTCCCAATGCCACCGACACCCTTTTTGGCATGGCTCTTGAACCCTACATCCTACACTTCCCGAAAAACCCTCTTAGTCTTTCTTTTTTTGGAGGGGCCCCCCCTGCGAGAAAGGAAGGCGCCTCGTAGTTGCCACTCCAAGGCTCAAACGCGTAGAGCAGGCCATTTCCGAAGCACTCCAAGTTTGGGTAGACGCTCCTGCCGATGGGCTCTTGCACCCCCCTTTTTATGAAAAAGAAAGGAGGGGGGTGGGGTGGTCTAGGGTTTCGCGCCGCGGGGGGGGGGGGGGGGGGGGGGGGGTGGGGGGGGGGCGGGGGGCGGGGGGGGGTGGGGAGGGGGGCGGGGGGCGGGGGGGGGGGGGGGGCGGGGGTGGGGGGGCGGGGGGGGGGCGGGGGGGGGGGGGGGGGGCGGGGGGGGGGGGGGGGGGGCGGCGGGGGGGGGCGGGGGGGGGGCGGGGGGCGGCGGGGGGGGGGGGGGGAAGTTCTGTCCAGAAAGGACAAATTATTTGATAATCTGCTCACATTGCCCTGTCCAAATCAAGGACCAAGCGATGGACGAGGTCGCGTTCATGCGAACCTCGATCAATGCTTTGAAAGGGGACTGTCGCGCTGAGAAATATCCACACCGGTTGCTTCATGTAGCATCTGCAGCTTTCCACAATCCGAAGGCTCTACTCTACCATACTCTACTATACTATATCCTATGCTATGCTTTGCCACCTGCCTGGCTTCGGATTTGGCTCAGGGTTCAGGGCATGGATGGATAGGAGTTGGATTTCGGGCACCGGTTCAAGTCCCAGCTCAGCTTTAAAAGGATAAACAAGAATTAACACAATCCAGTAGTTCCAGTAGACGGAGGCACATGTGGTGGACAGTCCTTAGTAAGGATCTATAGGAAGACAAACAATGAACTATGAAGACGCGTCTGTCGGGCGACATCACCGGGTGTCCTCTGTAAAGACAAGCTTGCTGGCATCGGGATGCCCCCCTAGACGGCCCAGCGGCGGAATGACTGAATGCTTCCAGTTTGCAAGCCCCTAAATCGCCCTAATCTTAAAACCCAGAACCTCTATAAACCCCATTCGCCAGTGTCAAATCTGTAAACCCCCTCCCACCCCCCCCCCCCCCCCCCCCCCCCCCTCCCCCCCCCCAAAAAAAAAAACATGAGAATCAAAAGAAAGAAACTCAAGTAGAACAAATGCCAACACAGCGCTTGAGCTGGCGGCGTAGTTTTGGTTGATCATCCTGCCCCAGCAGCCAGCACCACCCCAGTCGGCCACTGTGGAGGTTTCCTGGCCGAAGTTGCTGGCTGGGGCGAGTCCGGTTGGGGTTTAGGGTTTAGGGTTTAGGGTTTAGGGTTTAGGGTTTAGGGTTTAGGGTTTAGGGTTTAGGGTTTAGGGTTTAGGGTTTAGGGTTTAGGGTTTAGGGTTTAGGGTTCAGGGTTTAGGGTTCAGGGTATGCTTGTGTTCGGTCATTTTTGCTACCCAAGGCTGTCAAGATGACTACGGCTCACTAAGAATCGATAGGCCTGATAAGGCGTGGGGGAGAGCTCAAGGCCTCTTGACTTGCCCAAAAGGACTTGATGCCTGTTAGGGTTTAGGGTTTAGGGTTTAGGGTTTAGGGCTAGGGTTTAGGGTTTAGGTGCCTCTAGTTATGCCTCGGGGCATCCAAGTTCGGAAAGCCAAGCTCCTACAGTTCGCCAGCCGCGCCTCCGACGACCACAGGCGCGTGGAGGGGTGGGGTCTCAGAGCATCGCTGAGCTGCTCATTGGGGCTGCCTCTGGTGATCATTAAGGTTTAGGGTTTAGGGTTTAGGGTTTCCAGGCTTGCCGGTGACATATAGGGGTTTGCGGAAAGAAGGGGGGGTCCAATGTGGATCCCCACATGGCAGGATTCCCTTGTAATATGGATCCGAATAAGGGTTACCCCGAATTTCGGAAACCCCCTCTTTCATATGGGCTTAGGGTTTAGGGTTTAGGGTGTTACTCCTGCACTTCCGCTGAGTGCCGGTCCTGCTTGCGGATGCTTAGGGTTTTAGGGTAGCGAAGAGCACAGCCACCAGTATGCATTTGAAGCGCAGGACGACAATCCTTGGGAAGATCGAAAAGGATCATATAAGCACTGTCAGCTTTCATCCAAGCACGTGCCGGCCTACCTGCATCTTCTTTTTTGGACCTTCAACCCAAACTTAAATGCCCGACATTCTTTGCTAACACGTTTTGCGCCTGGACTCTTGCAGTCTGCCAGAAAAGCGTCGCTCAGGGAACATGTGCTGAAACACTCGTCACATGCCCCTCCTTTTTTTGCATCAGGCTTGCATGTCGCGCTGCCTCCTCAACCCTGAGCCTGCCGCACAAAAAGAGGGCTTCCCTAAAGCCTCGACCCTCAACCCTAAACCCAAACCCTCAATCCTAGCCCTAAGCCCTAAACCCTCAACCCTAGCCCAAAACCACCCCTAAACGCTTATAAAGGCTCTTGCTGAGGGCATGGCAAGGATAGTGCAGGCCGACAGCGGCTATGAGCTCTTGGAAGCGCCTAGGCCACCCCATTGCGGGGAGGTCCCAGGATGGGGCTGGGAATATAAAGCCTGTCTACCACATAAAGGGTTTTTTTTTGCCACCCGCTTAGCTGACCTCTCGGACACTCTGCAGGGAACTGGCGATTGAAGTGTGAGGTTCTACTGGATTTGCCTTTTGGGTTGAGCCTCCATCCAAGAGCCAACCAAAGGTTACAAGGATACAAGCCCAAAAAGTCCAATCTACAACAACCAGGGAAAGTCCACTCAACCCAGTCGCAACTTCATCAAGCTTTGCCAACTATAAAGCGTTTAGGCACCTCTCAGGGATCCCAGTCCACGTCGCCAACAAAGGAAACAAAAACCATCTAAGTAACCACCAGATAGCGCCAAGACCGATCAAGCCCCGAGGGCCCCAGGATGTATATGGGGGCATCCAGGCTCCAGCAGGTGATAGGTTCACCACCCGCATTGAGCTCGTGTACAGCGGTTGTTCCCCAGTCATCCAGGCAAATTGTACGTGCAGGTTCAGCAGAGTGGACATGACAGCACAAACATAACATCAAAGGTAACACATTAGCGCATGTCCACTCCATAGGGTCCTCAAAGATCCTACCACGTGACAGGTTAGGACGAGTCCTCAAGACTCATCCTCAGCTCCCCAGCCAAGCCAGGTCAGTTCATCGTGCGAGATTCCCAGTTGACAACCCAACCACCACATCGATCCATAAAGGGTTTAGGGTTTAGGGTTTAGGGGTTAGGGGTTAGGGTTTAGGGCTACCGTTCTAGCCTCTGAGTGGGACTGACTATGGGGACTCTAAGGCCTGTATACCCTACAAAGGGTTTATTAGGGATAATCTATCAGGCCTGTATACCCTATAATTTAAATCCATATAGGGTATTATATATATATATATGTATGATACAGCGTATGTACAGAAACTCTATGCCGATATATCTGGTACGCATCCATGTCAAGATTGGCACACGTGCACTCTGTAGTTGAAGGGTGCCGAGCCCCCCATTTCGGTGGGATAATGGGGTACGTGCCCGGTTGTGAGATGCGCCCACATGTGTGGGAAGCGGGCCCCCTAAGCCCGAATCCAACCCTAAACCCTCAATTCGAATTCCAAACCCTCAACCTTCAACCCTCAACCCTCCACCCTAAACCTTCAACCCTCAACCCTCAACCCTAAACCCTCAAGCCCTGGCGATTCCACCAGGGCTCCGGGCTCGTCCTTCTCGAAGTGAGCGAGGAAGTCAGCCGGGACCTGCGATGGCACTGCGTCCTGAGCAGACGCGCAAAGGGATGTTGGGAAGCTCAGGTGCCCTAGGGTCCTCAAAAAGAGGGTTTAGGGTTTAGGGTTTAGGGTTTAGGGTTTGGGGTTTGGGGTTTGGGGTTTAGGGTTTAGGGTGACACGTTCGGCGGAAGTGAGCGCTGCAGCTCACCGTCTCTGCAGCAGCTTGGGGGGCTTTGTCGAAGAATTCGTAGATGGAAATGGCACCCAGGTTGCAGATGAAATGCTCAAAATGTCGAGGCCGCTGCAAGCATCACCAACTTGGTTGTCAGGTTAGCTGCCTGACATCAGGACATGAAAGGCTGTTGGCTCCGGCTTTGGTTCATGCAGAGAGGTCGCTTGCAAATGGGAGGGTTGGCCTTGATGCCGGCAGCAAGGTCGTACACATACCACGGTGCACCTAGAAGCCAGCGTGGCTGTGCAGCACTTGCACAAAGCATTCCGGGACATGAGGAACAAGAGTCATCTGAGTCAGAGCAGCTCTCGCGATCTCTGGGGCTCAGCACCCCAGTCTCGCTCGTTCCAAATTCCAACATAGTCAATTTCAATGCCCAAGGTCTCCTGCAACGTCGGAATTTGCTCTAAAGTCGAAGCTCCACCCTGATTGCTGTTTACTAATAGTCCTTAAGAGGGATCATAAGAGGGGGTACTAGAAGCCCTCTTCAGGACTTCCAGCATAAGGGTGTTGCTGGTGCATCGCAGTTGCAGAAGGCATCATGAACTCTGACACACACCGCGGGCCTTGATGCACTTCAACCAGGAGACGTGATAAAATATGTTGTCCTGCGCTTGAGGGTTTAGGGTTTAGGGCTTAGGGTTTCAGATTTCGGGCTTGACCATACTTGACCATGCAGCTTAACACAAAACCTGTCCTGGCGCACTTCTCGGGCGCACAACGAATTGAGATAGGGGTACCGCATTGTCCCTCTTACAGAAGGGAATCCTACTATTGAAAGGGTCCCTATTCGGGTCCCCCCTGATTTTCCTAAATCCGCCATATGGGGTTTCCGAAAATGGGGGTACCCTTTTGGGGGCGTCCCTTTAAGGGGATTCTATTCTGTTTGGGGTCTAGAAGGGGTACCCTTCTTTTCGTAAACCCCCCCCCCTTTAAAGGAATCCAAAGGGCCGAAGCCCTAGTCTTGTGCTCTCGAGGCAGGGTTTAGGGTTTGGGGTTTGGGGTTTTTGCAGCCCTGCCTTTCCCCTGCTCCGTATACGATGAGTTGGGATGTTCCCCCTTGTACTAACAGTCCTTACTAGGTATAACAGTAGATAATTCCTATTAAGGACTGTTGGTATAAGGGGGATCCTCCCAAACGATGAAGGCTCACCCTTTTGCCAGTTTCCACACCACGGCCTGCTTGTTCACCCCTAAACGGCTAAACCCTGTTGCATCCAACCCTAAACCCTAAACCCTTTTTTGCGCCAAGCCGCTCTCAAGTGCCCAAACCCTAAACCCTAAACCCTAAACCCTAAACCCTAAACCCTACACCCCAGCTGGCGGGGAGCTTGTGTCGTATGTCACGCAGAGGGCCTCGCTGAAAAACGTGCCATTCCCAATCCAGCCCGGGGCGCCCCAGGCCTAGGGAATGGAATTTGTGGGATTTATGGGGTTTAGGGTTTAGGGTCTGGGGTTTAGGGTTTATAAGGGCATTTGGATAGAGGTTTTTGGGTATGAGAGGGCTGTTAGAAATTCAGAGTATAGAATTTGCAGGGTTGAGAGAGGGAATAAGAAGGCTGTATCGGTTAAGAGGATTTAAGGGCATCTGGATATCTACATGTTTATGTTTGAGGGCTCAACAGCTATGCCTGTGGCGCAACAGGGATCCGGGATCCTTTAGCATGCTATGGAGAGGTACATGTTGGCACCTAAGTTGCAAACGACTGTGGGCTGGAGGCGTTGCAACAGGCTTGACACTTCTTTGTTGTGAGACTGCTGGGGATTTACCCTAAACCCTAAACCCTAAAGCCTAAACCCTAAACAGTGAAGGGGATTGGGTCGCGGTCTGATTCCCTTCGGCCGTTCGAAGTTTCCAGTGCGAACTAACAAGGAACACTAAACCCTAAACCCTAAACCCTATAAACCCTAAACCCTACTGCCCGTACTGTTCCTCTCAGCCTTGATGTGCTCAAGTGCCCTGGCATTTCGTGACCTCTCTACTACCACAGCACCTACGTGGCCCAGTCACTTCCCTAACCCTAAGCCCTAAGCCCTAAGCCCTAAACCCTAAACCCTAAACCCTAAACCCTAACCCTAATAAACCTCGGTTTTATAACACCCCTCCTCAATTCAGAAACCCCAGGCCCGGAACTGAACTACAAACCCCCCACTCCCCCCGACCCCAAGTTAAGAACACCCGGCCCCCAACAGGCTAGCGACTTTCTTTTCGAGCAGTCGGCTGCCCATCAATGAGAGTCTCTAGCCCTAAGCCAGAGACTGCAAGGCCTGAACTTGCAGGATCCTACTTGAAACCAAAAGGGTTTAGGGTTTAGGGTTTTGAATCAACGGATACGGCGAGGGGGGGGGGTTATTAACATTAGGCAGGCTGCGCAATGTGAGGCTTACTCTGATGTTCTTCGTCTCGACGAAAGGGGGCTCAGATAGAAGACGTAGTTGATCAACTCGCACCACAAAGAATCGCCAAGTGACTGGTGTTGCAATCCCCAATGGTGAACACTGCCTCTGGTTCCCATGCAACCCTAACCCTCAACCCTCAACCCTATAAACCCTAAACCCTAAACCCTAAACCCTAAGGCCCGAAACCCTAAACCTAAACCCTAAGGCCCGAAACCCTGAGCCATCCTTCGAAACTTTTCAGCAACCCAGGTGTTGGCTCACTTGGGCGCCCCGCTAGGCCATAAGTCAGGATCTGCGGGTTCCTTGCCTGCACAAGGTTTGGTCCTTTTTTTGCCAGGGGGGTAGGGTGTAGGGTGTAGGGTTTATGATGGCTTAGGGTTTAGGGTCTGCCACATTTTCATTTGAGGGTAGTCTGAAGCCTTTCGCACTGGCTGCGACGCTGCATTCTCTCTGCCGCAAGGTTGGGCAGGGTCATGTCCATGGAGGCCGGTAAGTAAGTGAAGTAAGTCTAAGTGAGGTAACAATATATGTCATGTGCACATGTAAAACCTGCATGTATGCAGTATGCATCAGTATACACTAGATAACAAAGGATCACAAAAGCGAGGGCCCTAGGGACTTGCTGCTGAAGCTTGCTTGGCTTGAGCCCACCTTCGCCTCTTTGAGCAGCCAAGCCTGCCCAGAAAGCTTGGCACAAGGCGTGGTTTAGGGTTTAGGGTTTGGGGTCTGTAGAAAGTTCTTGGCATCATCTTGCGACATTGACTTGCATGACTTGGAAATTATGATGGTGGGTAAGGTCCTTTCAGCGATGACACAGTGTACCGCAGTTTGCCGTGCTAGTGACATTCCGGAACCGAGCAAAACCACAAAAACAAACCCGAAAAATGACAGGCAAACAAGCAAACGAAAAATACCAACACACACACAGAGACAGAGACAGAGACAGAGACAGAGACAGGGACAGAGACAGAGACAGAGACAGAGACACAGACAGAGACAGCGACACTGACAGACAGACAGACACACACACACACACACACAAAACCCTAAACCCTAAACCAAAACCCGCCTCATAGCCTCGCAGACAGTCTGGTGGCTCACCTTCCCAAGTGCCCCAGGAATCTTGGGTTCAGTTATCAGAGTTCGGGGTAGACATCGAGAAGAGGAGCGCGTCTAGGAGGCCTGCAAAGCATGCGCCGGCCGGCGTGACATGAAAGGCTGGGTAGGGTTTAGGGTTTAGGGTTTAGGGTTTAGGGTTTAGGGTTTAGGGTTTAGGGTTTAGGGTTTAGGGTTTAGGGTTTAGGGTTTAGGGTTTAGGGTTTAGGGTTTAGGGTTTAGGGTTTAGGGTTTAGGGTTTAGGGTGTAGGGTTTAGGGTTTAGGGTTTAGGGTTTCGGGTTTGGGGTTTGGGGTTTTGGGGTTTGGGGTTTGGAGTTTAGGTTTAGGGTACTGGCAAAAGCCCGTTTTTCTTCGGAGGGCGCACACATGAGGCGCTCGCCGGTGCGAGGGAGAAATGTAGATCAAGACTCAGCTTGACTGGCAGGTGGCTACGGTTTGCTTAAGAACCCCCCGAAAAATAGAAAATAATCATCCCTATATTACTCTTATAGGGAAGAATATTGTTGGTTTTTTGGGGGGTCTTAAACACATAGTAGGTTGTCTTTAAACATTTGCAGCCACGGGTGGGCAGTTTACGCCTTGGCGTCCTCCTTGGCCATGTGCTTGATGAGGTCCACTACGCGGCAGGAGTAGCCCCACTCGTTGTCGTACCTGGGCCCCCAAGAAATGAAACAAAAAACAACGATGGCCTATATAGGGCTAGATAGGATTAGGGCTCACAGACTTTCTGTGGCTTTGACAAAACTACTTCCCAATCAACCCCCCAGGTACCAGCAAACCACCTTGACGAAGGTGGGGTCCAGCATGATGCCAGCCTTGGAGTCGAAAGTGCAAGAGATCGGGTTGGTCTCGAAGTCCGTGGACACCAGGGCCTCGTCGGTATACCCCAAGTAGCCCTTCATGTCGCCCTCGGAACGCTTCTTCATCTCTGCGCAGATCTCCTCGTAGGTGGTCTCCTTCTCCAGCTCACACGTGAGGTCCACAACGGACACGTCGATGGTCGGCACGCGCAGGGCCATGCCGGTAAGCTTGCCCTTCACAGCCGGAAGGACCTTCGCCACTGCCTTCGCGGCACCGGTGGAGCTGGGAATGATGTTGCCCGGACCGGCGCGTCCGCCACGCCAGTCCTTCTTGGAGGTTCCATCCACCGTGGGCTGGGAGGCGGTCATGGCGTGGCAGGTGGTCATGAGGCCGCGCTTGATGCCGAACTTCTCTTGCAGGACGCGGACAGCCGGGGCCAGGCCGTTGGTGGTGCAGGAGGCACAGGACACGCACTCCATGGACGGATCATAGGTGTCCTCGTTCACGCCCATGACGATGGTGTGGGAGTCATCCTTGGCTGGAGCGGAGAAGATCACCTTCTTGGCACCGGCCTTCAAGTGGGGCTGCACCTTGTCGGTGGTCAGGAACACTCCCGTGGACTCGCACACGTACTCGGCACCATGCTCTTTGAAGGGAATCTCTGCTGGGTCACGGGTGTGGGACAGTGCCACCGTCTGGCCGTCAATGACCAGGGAGTCGCCATCGACCTCGACAGTTCCATCATATTTACCATGAATCGTGTCGTACTTCATCATGTAGGCCAAGTAGTCGGCATCATAGCTGGCGTTAATCAATTTCAAATCGGTCTCCGGATCCTTCATGGCGATGCGGGCCACTTGGCGACCGATGCGGCCGAAGCCGTTGATGCCCACGCCCACAGCCTGGAGGGAGGTGCGTCCCTTGCTGGCGCGCTTGCCAGCCACTCCTGCGGCGGCCAGGCCAGCCACGGCACCGAGGCCGGCCATGGCGCCAACACCGGAAGCCTGCGAAGAGCCATAGCCCGCCGCGCGCAGGTTGGTCCTCTGCGTCTGGGGCTCGCTGTGCTGGACCTGGCCCGCAGGCGCCACGAAGGCACCGCTCAAGGCGCCCGCTGCCGCGAAGGCACCGACGCCGGCCATGGCAACGTTGGTGGCGGTGGAGGGCATGGTGGCAAGGACCAGATGAGGGCTGTGATACTTTGCTGGCACGTGGCTGCTAGGCAAGGCACGCTTTCAGTTTAGGAGAGTGGCCCGTCATTGGGGGCAGCATTTGTTCAGTGTTGGGGGCAGGAGGACTCAAGGGATGTTGAAAACATCTGAAGGCTTGCGCCTGGGCAATCAGGAAAAAGGCTGTTTTTGCACCATGTCCTCTCCAATGGCTCTTGGCCGGCGCACATAATGGCGCTGGCTAGAATCTCCGAAATAGTTTTTAGTATAATGTGCCGTTTCACTCGGCTAGGCGGAAAATGAGCTTGGAGGGTTCAAGAGGTGGTTGAAAGTATCAACCAGACAGAGACCATGAGTCATTCATGGATCTCATCTTCTTAAAAGAAGCCGAAGAGCTCTGGCAGCTTATGCCTTGGCATCCTCCTTGGCCATGTGCTTGATCAGGTCCACGACACGGCAGGAGTAGCCCCACTCGTTGTCGTACCTGGGCCCCCAAGAAATGAAACAAAAAACAACGATGGCCTATATAGGGCTAGATAGGATTAGGGCTCACAGACTTTCTGTGGCTTTGACAAAACTACTTCCCAATCAACCCCCCAGGTACCAGCAAACCACCTTGACGAAGGTGGGGTCCAGCATGATGCCAGCCTTGGAGT